TTTTACTTTTGCACTATCCTTGGGAGCCTTTGATTAGAAAATAAAATATACACCAATTCTTTCATCAAGAAATGTCACTACATTAAGAAATGAAAATCAGAAAAGAAATACCAGTAATATATTTTTCGTTCCTTTCCTTTATTGATAATTCTGTGTAGAAATGATCATTTTATACTTTACAGCAACAATATATAGCGAGTGTTGCTTTCTCAAACATTTTAACAACACCTAGCCTATATAATTTTTATATATTGGTGCTTTTAAGCTTAAGTAACACAAAAGTGCACATGCTGAAATGTCTCGCCTGCTTTACTGACCATTGATTTAATGTTGAAAGTCTTAAAGATAAAGGTTTTACTAAAAGCATCACAGAAACTCGATCAGGTCAGGTAAATCCTGTTAGACACACCTTACAATTTTTTATACACAAAATATAGTTGACCTATTGCATATGATAATTGAAAAACAGATCAAAACAAAAAAACTTATCATTGACCAATGAACTATGAAAATGAGATCAAGGTCAGATGATACCTGCCAGACTGACATGTACCCATTACAGTCATTCCATACACCACATATAGTTGACCTACTGCTTATAGTATTTGAGAAACGGACCTAATCACATAACTTTTAACCTTGATCACTGATCCATGAAATGAGGTTGAGGTTAGGTGAACCCTATCTGACGGACATGTAGACTTTGCAAGGAACCCATATACTAAATATAGTTGTCCTATTACTCATAATAAGTGAGAAATTTACAAAACAAAAAAACTCAATTTTTTTTTTCAAGCAGTCACTGAACCATGAAAATGAGGGCAAGGACATTGGACATATGACAGACAGAAACTTTGTAACATAAGGTATCTGCATACAAGATATGAAGCATCCAGGTCTTCTACCTTCTGAAATATAAAGCTTTATACAAATAGTGTATGCTGCTGCCAGTGGATAGTAATACCTATGCCTCGCATACTGAGACTTTCTTTGCAGGCGAGACAAAAAGGATAAATAGAATGTGTCCAGCTAGTTCTGGAAATCCTGTAACAGTCACAATAAAATTACTATGGCCTTTAAAGCAGGTTCCATATTGTAAGCTTTTTAGTTGCATTTCCCAAAGTCCAGAAATGTAAATCCATGTTTTGCTGTAACAGCAACCTTTGCAATCAAGTCATATTTAATGGGTTTTTTTTCAGGAGATAATGATGGTAAGTAATTCATGTAGGCTCCTTAGTCCAACTATGTTCTGTTCAGGTAAAACTTGTTGAATTTTTGGATTAGCATCAAAATTATGAATTTTATATATGACCGACAGTATAATTGTCAACCAATCATAATGTTACTTCATATGACTACAAAGAGATATGCCAACAGAACTAAAACAACATTTAAAAACAAATTAACACATCCAGAAGTCACTTTACAAAAACCAGGGAGGATCCTAGTTTACCACCTGCACATATTCATGTGCTTTTCTGCTGCAAAGTGTTAATTCTTGACTGGACTGGACTATTGGACTTGACCCATGGACTGGACTGGACTGTTGGGACTAGACTTACATGTAAAAACAATTTAATTTTTTTTTTTCTTCTTTTAAATGTGAAATCTTCTCTCAATTAGGAAAAAAATCTCAAAGAACTTTTTAGTCAAGTCAAGTCCAACTGTCCAGTCATATAAAGTCAAGATTTCACACTTTGCGCTCTTCTGGAACCTCATCAGTGGTTGTATTAATCAAGCAGCCACCCAGGCCTCTCAAGCATATTCAGGATGAGCAATTAAAAACGATTAAAACTTGAAGATCATTTGCAATTTTTTTGTGTGTTGATTATTAAAGGTTTTAAGTACAAATGGGTAGAGTCTTACACACCTAAATTAAAACTACTACTTGTTAGTTTTCAACTTCTATAACAGAGAGCTCATATATCATATTGTGTTTTTCTATTTGGAGAGTTAGTGTTGATGACAGATCTTAGATAGTCTCTGTTTAATTTATACACAACTTTTTTTTAGACTGGGACAATTAATAGCTTGACATATTGTATAGATACATCATACCCTACTTTTTTTTAATACAACCGTATTTGTTGACCTCTAGATTTTTTTTGATGATTTGAGCCATTGTGCTGCTGTCACATTATTGATCTTTTATTCATACAGTTTATAAATACTGTTCATATTAGTTACACCAAGGAGGGCGGTATCTAATTTACACCATGGTACTACCATGGTTAATGTAAAATGATAGCTTTCAATAATGAAGGAGGGGGACTAGCACATCACTCTTTCAGCAATTTAACTTTATTTCATGGTATAAGGCACAAGATAAATGAACAAGCTATTTACAAGAATTTACTACAGTTCCTATACTTAATGAAGTTCTCTTATGGAGAAAATTAGTAATTCAAAATTTAAAAAAATGGCCTTGTCTTCACCAAAGACATATATATGTCCCTGTCTTCACTTAGAATCAAATATTGTCATAATAGTAATAAAATTTCTCATATGGAGGTAAATTTTAACTTAAAGGTTGAACAGTCTTGACATGAAGGTCATAATAACTACCAAAAAAAAATCAATTCTGTTTTGCATGACCAATGAAAGTAATAGACTTTTTTAAAGAAAAAAAGTCAGTAGAGAAATGCAGGCTATGTTGAACTATTTTTGTTTGCTAGCTGCACTACTCTCAAAAGTTGCATCCTAAAAGTTCTGTTATAGCTAAAATGAACTTCAGTGCTCATTCCCTTGAAATAGAAAGAGGAAAATATAACAAAATGATAAGAAATGAAAGATTTTGTAAAGTGTGTACACACAACAAAATTGAAGGTGAAAATCACTTTATTTTGCATTGCCTTAAATAGCAAAAGGAAAGAGAAAGCCGTGTGACAAAATTGTCTAAATTTTACCCAAATTTTAGAAATATACATAATGACAGCATAAAGTCAAAGTCGTTAAAAAGTGGGTCAGTAAAAATATCAAAGATATGTTCAAATTACATTTCTGAATTGTTGAAAGTTAGAAATAATGTTTTACAAAACCATTAATAATATTAAATATCAATATCCTGTTAAGAAAGTATTGATTATCTATTTGTTGTAATGTTGTATTTTTGTATGTTTGTATTTTATGTATTTCTATACAATGTGTTAAATTGAGCCTTTACTTATTGTTATAATTGCTTTTTCCCTTATAAAATATGTGTCATTGTCTATTGTCCTATAACTAATAATTCTTAGTATAGAATTAGTTTTTGTAAATATGGGAAATACTTAAAATTAGAAAGATATGCAATATTGGAAAAATTAAAAATTTACATGAATTGCATTAAATATTCAGCATTCACTTATTTATTAGTAAGTGTGGATGATTGGTAAAATCAAATTCTAAAGTTAGATAATGTATGTTTGAGTCAATACATAACAGTTAAAAAAATTACATCATACAAATTACTACTGTGAACATGGGTGTAACAATTAATTAAATTCATTCCTTTTAAATGAACAGCACCTTGGTTCACTCAAAGACCAAGAAAATATTCTGCTCTTTGATGAGAAATCTAAATAGATTCAAATTAATACAATAAAAATCATAAACAACCATTTAAAATTATCCATCCATTAATAGCTTGAAATAATAACAATAGAAACAAGGATTTTACATATATATTGTTTGCTTTTCAACTTAATGTATATATTGAAAAGGTATTTTCCTTGTAAAACTATGCTAATATAAATCTATGTTTAAACATTTGTATCCGATCCGATATTATAAATTTAATAAAAAAAAAATGTAATGGAATATGAGATTAAAAAGAAAAATCCTAGATAGCACTGTACAAATATATTATGCATTTTACAATATATCTCCCATTTAGTGGTTCTTTGTTAGCATACCATTTTTAACCCTACAAGGAAGATATTTAAAAACCAACAATTATTTTGAAAAGGTCAAATATTCAAATCATCAACTTGGTAGGAAAATTTATTTTTTCTCTCTTTTTTACCTCACCCCACAGGCGTGTTTGGCCCCACCACATTTTATGTGCACATACCTGAGTTAGGAGCCTGTGGTTGAGTGGTTGTCCATTGCTGTCTGTCATATTTGTTTGCCATTTATAGTTTAGCTCCTTAAGTTTTGTCATGTGGGAGGAGGGCCCTTTTATATCTTAATATGAATGGTAAGGGTTTAGCCTGTCGTTGAAAGCGTATAGTGACATATAGTTTAATTCCACACCCTTTGGTCTCCAGTGGATAGTTGTCTCATTGACAATCTTACCACATCTTATTTTTAGATTGATTAATACAAATTTAATTATAGCGGTAAATTATAACTAAATAACAAACTGGACATGCATTTACCAGCAATAAAATCAAGTCAGACATTCAAAGAACAAGGGTAAATCTTTAAGAACAGAGGCATCAAAATGTTGGTTTTTTTATTAAATCTACTCAACATGTTTAAGTTTCTTAAGTTTGTCGCCACAGATACACAAAATACAACTTGAATAAATAAAAGTAAAAATAGTATGACATCAGTACTGCTCAATGAAATAGTTAGCAGTTGTAATTTTTAAATACTAAAGCAGTGCATTTTCTATTATCGTTTCACAGAATTTTTAAAACATGCATGACTTGTAAATAATAATTACTTTTCAAAAATAATCAATCAAATGCTTTAAAATCTTACTTATTTAAATTACATGTAATGTCAAATTTGAAATTGTCTTACCCAATTCTCATTCATTGTCTTTTCATTCATAGTTCTCTCCTACTCCTTACTTATTTCTTGATATGTTTATTTCATGATTTGTGGGAAATATAAAAAATAATAGTACTTGTACTACATAAACAATCTGACAGTAAACGTGGTGATCCTATCTCAGGTGTTCGTTGACTGCATTGCAATATGGAGTTCAATTTCTAGAGTCTATGTGTGTTTAAATAGCTAAATGGTTGAAAAAATGCAAGGTAATTCTACAAATTTGTATTACAGTACACTGAAATATTCATAAGAGGTGTAAGGTTTTACATAAGCAATGGTGGAGACAAATTTCAGATTTGTATTTTTTCTGACTTTTATAAAAACATGTAAACAGGTAAGTCATGGTGTCAAAGTTGTCAATTATGAAAATTATGCAAATAATTACAAATGCCTTATAAAATTTTAATGTTGGGTGTTTTTTTTTTAAAAGTTTTTAACAAAAGTAGTAAATTTTTTGAACTTTTTCCTTTGAGGATTGGTAAACAAAGGAAATGGAAATGTCTGACCATAAATAACTACCTAATAAATGACAATTTTTAAAATAAAACTAATTTGTTCCAGTGTTGGTTTAATTTGAATAATTGTTACTTAAAAATATGGGATAATATTTAGCTTTATGTCCAAAGACGTATGATTAAAAGCAGATGTGGGGAAAACTTCTGTCAGACAGCAACCTGTCTGAACTCGATGACACAAAAACGCCAAAACTGCTTCAGGTCAACAGACAGGGCCTGCCCTCTTTTAATTTATCATTTAAGAATTCCTTTTACATGTATTCTATGACAATATGAAAATAAGAAGTTGTGGTATGATTGCAACTGAGACAACTCTCCATCAGAGACCAAATGACATAGAAGTTTACAACTATAGGTCACTGTACAGCCTTCACAATGAGCAAAACCCATACTGCACAGTCTGACAGCTATAAAAGGCCCTGACAAGACCAAATGTAAACAATTCAAACAAGAAAACTAACGGCCTGATTCAAGCACAAAACAATGAACAAAAAACAAATATGATATACAGCAACAAACGACTACTGAATTACAGGCTCCTGACTCGGGACAGGCACATACAGAATGTGGCGGGGTTAAAATAGTCTGTTGGTGCCTAACCCTTCCCCTAACCTGGGACAGTGGTGTAACAGTACAACATAGCAAAGCATATTTCTAAAATGCCTAGGTCTTAATTCAACTAATGCAGCAATAGTACTTCTCTACTTTTTGTACTTGACATGAAAACAGATCATATGTACTTATGTAAACAAGTTTGATATTACCCAAGTGTGAATGATGGGTAGGTTTTATAACTTGCATGACACTAAAGACTAAATTTGTTCATTAGTATCACATGTCATAAACACAGGCACTTATCTCTGAAAAAAAGATACCTATATAGTAGTATATACTTTAATTTCAGAGACAAGTGCCTGTGGTCATAAACATTAGAAAGTATTTTTAACTTACAGCTATCAGAAATAAGTCATCTTGTAAAAAAATAATCTCAGGCTTTCAATCAAATAAAATGTCTTAAAATTAAAATTCAGCATAAATCTGTAGTGACATTAACATGTAAAAAATGCAGGTATGACAAATACTCTACATCTTTTCAAAGAATAAAAGATAAATAATGGATTTACAGAAGAGAAGGGGAGATAACTTCTGAATTTATACAAACATAAGTTCTGCATTTAAATCTATGCAAATAATCAACAAATTTACTGAATTTCAAAAAAAAAAGACCAAAGCAATACATAACAGTATAAAAATGAATAAAAGGAGACTAGTACAGTAAAACTTATACTATATTACTGTTGTTTTCAGGTGACAAAATATGAAAACTTTAGGAAGCCAAATAATAAATATGAGGAAGATTTTCTCAATAATAGGAAGAAAATAAATAAAACAATAAACTGTTGACACAGAGATATGTCTCACCTGTTGGCATAAAATTCAGAAAAAGACAATCTGATGGATAGCAACATTGCTAATTAATTCAAGTTGCTGGACAAACTAGTGGGTAGGGCCTCAAAATGGTTGACAAACTGAGATGTACACAGCAATGTAACTTTATAGAAAACATTCTCTATTGTATGTAGTTCCTATCAAACTAACTTAATCAGAAAACTTAACATTGAAAATTGTTAATTGATTGAAAGTCACTGGACCATGACCTAGGGGGCAGGGCCTTGAAATAGTCGTCAAACTGATATGTACTGATAGTAATGCAACTTTATAGAAAATATCATTGATCTATCGCAATTAGTTCATATCAAACTAACTTAAGCAGAAAACTTATCATTGAAAATTGCTAATTAATTGAAAATCACTGAACCAGGGCCTAGGGGGCAGAGCCTCAAAATAGTCATCAAACTGATATGTACTGATAGCAATGCAACTTCATACAAAATATCATTGATCGATCACAAGTAGTTCCTATCAATCTAACTTGAGCAGAAAACTTAACATTTAAAATTACTATAATTAATTCAAGTCACTGGACGATGGCCTAGGGGCAGGGCCTCAAAATTGTCATCGAACTTATACGTACTGATAGTAATGCATCTTCATACAAAATATCAATGATCTATCACAAGTAGTTCCCCTATCAAACTGACTTAAGCAGAAAACTTAACAATTGTTGATGCCCTCGCCGGAAAAGCAATCTTTATGTCTCACTTTCCGCGACTATCTTCGCAGGAGAGACAATAAATCAATATACTAGATAATCCAACATGGTTAATTTTGTTTTACATTTGCACTATCAAAACAGATAGCCATTTTGGAAAGCATTTATTTTCTTGTAAAGGAGTAGAACCAGTAACCCCATCTAACGGCCCTGTAAAGGTGATTTTTTTAAACTTAAGTTGTTTCAGTTAATCTAATGTGTATGTATTGCTCAATGTAATATTGATGAAAGTATGATAACAATAAAAGAAGAATGTGTCTGAGGACATGAATGCCCCTGCTCAAGCTTCGCAAAGAAAATGGGACTGACGGAAAGAGGGCAGGGGCATAAAAATTGTATATCTGCTTAAAATATTATATATATATTAGCCTGAAATAGAAAAGATTTCATTTTAGTCCATTTTCCTTGAAATGTGTTACCTTTATCGACCTTATTTCATGATTTTATATGTGGCGCCACCCCTCGCTCATTGAAATATTGGTTGCAAAGTAAAGAACATGGTTAATAAAGCATATTTCAGCAAAAAAATGTGTGTGCAAGGGGTGGCGCCACTGTTAATTTTGTAGACAACTGTCATAAATTTTGTCAAATAATGCAAAAAATCAGGTTTAAACAAACATCAACTATGTTCATGATGTCACAAATACATCACTAATGACGCAATTGGTGAAAATCTTCTTTCACTGAAAAAATTAGACATTTAACACAAGTTTTCATCAAATTTTTCACAACATTATCACAGTTTAAAAAATTCTGATTTTAAAGGCCAAAATTTTGAGTTAGTAAACCAACTCATTTAATGTGCATATCTGATTATCAAAAATTATCTTGAAATTATAATACAGACTTTATCCTCTTTCACAGGTAACACTTGCTTCATATGAGTTCCTAATCCAAAGGTCATAAACAGAACAGGGCAATACTGGGTAATATGATTTTTCAAGCTTATTTTTACACAAAATAGTAAAGACTTGTTGTAGTTTAATAGTATTATAGCTAAATATATATGTTTTATACAGATAACCATTGAAAGTAATTTCTGAAGATTGAAAATTCAATTTCTTCCTTTTCTCTATGTAGGCAGAAAACTTATTTTGCACATTTCAGGATATCTTGTTAATTTCCAAGCTTTGTTTCAATAATCCAATTTTAAACTTTGAAAAAAATGCATTTTATTGCAGTGAATAAGTAAATTGAAATTTAAATTGTTATACAATCATATTGCTAAAAAAACACCCTGAGGGGACAGGCCATGAACACTTATAGAAATCAAAAGGCTGAATATTGTTATATAAACAAATCTGTGTTATGATCTGAATAATTACCTATTAATTAGTGATGTACATAAACATATATATGCTAAAACTTAGTAAACATTTTTAGTAATGAACAAAAAATGTTTTAAAGTAATTTTCCTTACATATAATTGTTAATTATTAGTAATAGTTATATTTATTAAAAAAAAAAAAATTGAATTCTTAGACTTTAGGTCAACACTTTGACCAATCTAGACAGATTAGATTAGATAGATTTTTAGGAGGATTATTAAGAAAAGCTTTTCTCATTTGTCTTATGTGTCTTCATGTACACTTGCCTTAGAGTTGCTGGACCACTAATATTTTCTTAGATTTATACACTTTATATTAAGAGTCTCAAACAAGTGAACTTATAAATTAAAATACTGTGTTTTACTTTTATAAATACATGTATCTTTAATGTATTACATTTGTGATTAATCACTGAATCCTCTTTGAAATTCAGGCCAGTATTTCATATTACCCAGTATTGCCCAGTATTACCCGGTAAAACCCAGTAAACCTGGGTTTTCCCAGTATTTCCCACTGGTCTGGGCAATACTCATAAAACCCGGGTTTTTGCCAACTCTGAGTAGAATAGTAGTAATATATATATATACAAACAAGTTTAGTAATGACACAGTTTCTATTTTGGGGCTAGGCATACCAAATTCTAATGAAGAGCGGCTGAGCCAGATATACTAAGCACTTGTCCATCAAAAATTTGAATACTCTTGCTCAGTCTAGGACTTGAATTTACATCAAAGATTCACATTTTCCAGAGGCGAGTTACTTGGTGTGCCTATTTAAATAATAGATATCATATCTGACATACTGAATAAAATTGAGAATGGAAATGGGGAATGTGTCAAGGAGACAACAACCCGACCATAGAGCAGACACATAGTCCAAGATTGATCTCATGCCTGAAGTTTTTTCAAGTCTTTGCTGGGGTAGTGATTGCTCTGAGGTCTGTTTTTATAATTTTTTTTTATGACTGGCTGAGGCTGTGGGACATCAGATTGTAGTCTGTATAGAACACATGGAAATTTCTGATATCATAATAGGTTCACCATCCACTTTCAAGAAGATATATCATACATCTTTTGATTCCTCATTCATTCTACTCCACTATTACGTAACTTTTATTCACATACTAACCCCAAATAGCCCAAATTAAATTTTCTTGCCATCAACCCACTGATTTCAACGACATACTTTCACTTTCGAACAAAATATTGGCGATCTCCTGTTATTTTCTTCCAGTACCTGCAATCATGGGAGCTAATTAAAGCAAATAGGCTGATATGCAAAAAATTGATTGATTGATTGGTGTTTAACGCCACTTTCAACACTCTTTTGCTATTTCGTGGCGGTCAGTTTTTATTTGTGGAGGAAGCCAGAGTGCCATTATATTTTTCCAACCACTCGCTCTGACAACATGGGAAGGAAGTGACAATGCCGCTAAACGCACCAATGATGTTCACCAAAACCAAAGTTTTTGACGGAAATGCAACAAACTCGAAAGTTGTCTATTGATTGCTATACAAACTAATTAGTGGTTTTGATAGGTGTCAATTATCAATTCAACTTATTTCTTTCATCTTTAAATATCTTTGTATAGGTTTTTCAATGACTGTAAATGGTATATGAAAATGACTGCAAATAAAAAACAATATTATTTTTGTATGTTTAACAGTCTGCACCATTTGCCACTAGTCCGATGCCCAAGACTAGTAAAACTTTATTCGGACTAGTAAATTCTTCCAGGGATTTGTATATAGCATCCTTGATTTTTTTCAAAACTTTGTTTAGACACATAAGGAAAATGTCTGAATATTGTTCTTCATTACATTACAATTACATGTTATCATGGTAATGCCAAAATTTGGGCATTAAACATTACATGCATTACAAGGCATTACAATTACAAATTAATATTACCCCATGCCTGTATACAGTACATGTTTTGTGAAACATCTTATTAACAGATTAAACAGTAAAACAGGCTAATACAAATGTACATGTATGTAGTAATAATTTTTGAAATTAATCACTTTTGTTTGACAAATTAATTTAAAAAGGCCATGCATGGAATATTTCATAATCATCAGGCTCAGTCTGTTTCATAAATTACTGAAAACCTCAAGAAGAAAGAAGAGAGTATAAAAATGACTTCATAAAATTATTTGACTTCTACGTTGCATTGTTGTTGACTAAAGTAATCAATTAATTTTGAATGCAAAAATCTATATAATAAAAATTCTTACAGTGGTAGGCACAGCAGTTCCTGTATTTGTTGTCATCCTTTCTGTACGAATATTTACACAATGTTTATAAGCAGATTAATGTATCCTTGAAAATTGGATTTTCTTGAATCTCGGGAATTCTTTGGAGTATTCAGTACAAATTGTTTCCGAATGTAATAAGTATAAATGTTTAATCAAGTCGGTATGTTTCCGCAATTTTGTCCATAAAAAGCCTGTTACATCCTAATTGGGTCAATATAGAGCAATGAGCCAGATTTAATATGTAAAATCAAATTTGAACTATAACAATAAAGAAAAATATACAAACTTGTATTTTCTTTGAATTGAATTTCATAACGTAAGGACCAACGTGAATGAAACAGTTTTTATAAAATTACTAACTTCGCGAACAACATCAATATTTTATGCGAAAGTTTTCAGAATAATTGGAAAGATTTTAAAGAAGATACTTTTAAATTCGATAAAAGTACGCTCTTGACATATTTTTCAAATATTTTTTAAAACACATATTTTTATACGACCGCAAAAAATTTTGTGGTCGTATATTAATTGGTATCACGTCGTCGTCGTCCGAAGACACTTGGTTTCCGGACAATAACTTTAGTATTAGTAAATAGAAATCTATGAAATTTCAACACAAGGTTTAAAACCACAAAAGGAAGGTTGAGATTGATTTTGGGGGTTATAGTCCTAACAGTTTAGGAATAAGGGGCCAAAAAAGAGACCCAAATAAGCATTTTTCCTGTCTTCAGACAATAACTTGTGGAACGGTGTATGGATCTCTCTGAAATTGTATAACAAGTTTCCATACCACAAAGGGATGGTTAGGATTGGCTTTGGGGGGTAATGGCTCAAACCGTTTAGAAATTAGGGGCAAAAAAGAAGAAAAAACAAGGGTTTCCTTGTTAATGGACAATCACTTTTAAGTACAATGTCAAATTTGGATCACCTCCCTTACACTGCTTTAAAATTATGTATAAAGAAATTTTGTATTGTCTGGAGGTGATTAGCTGTCAATTTATTTTTAGAAGTTACTAATAAAAATGCTGATTAAAGGTATATTATTTTTAGACATGATTATGTATGTCATTTTCTATTTTAAGACTTTTATTATGTATTTAAATGGGTAATTATGGTTGCAAACTCCATTGGAAATTTGAATTGAGATAATGACCATATCTTGAGGGAAAGAGGGAAAGATTGTTTTTTGGAAAAAGAGGAGGTGGAGGGGAGGTGAAAAAAAATTGGAGGGGGAACAATTTTTTTCTCATTACAGATTTCAGAAATTAAAAAGAAAATTTCTTCAAATATTATTTTTTTTTTGCAAAAAAGAAGGGGGGGATTTTGCCCAAAAAAAGGGGTGAAATTTTTTATTGGGGGGGGGGGGGGGGGGCAATTTGCAACCGCATAGTGAATTGCACAAAAGCAAAAAATTGAAAATTGAATATAAATTCAAATCATATAACCAATTCTAAGTTCTTTGACTACAGTTATTCTGTGTCAGAAATCTATTATGTGTCAAACATTTAATTTCTATCCAAATTCAGACCTGTATCAAGCACGAATATTGTGTCCATTTTTGCCCCAACTGTTCAGGGTTGGACCTCTGCGGTCGTATCCAGCTGCGCTCGGCGAAGCAATTTATTAATTAATAGAATTTGAAATAGGCAAGCACTATCAAAGACATATGATACTATCGGTAATATCAGATTTACTATGTAATGGACTTCTGGTAATATGTATAATATATCTCTGGCACTATGCAGGATGAGAATAAGTGCACATCCCTAAACATAGAGACATCGGATAGATATGCAAAACAAATGAATGGATAAATCACAAAGGCTATGTAAAAAATGCATGTTGGATAAAGTTAAAAGATAATAATAAATAAATAAATAAGCTTTATTTAGAGTCGGCATAGTATACAAATAAGGACACAACATAAGCTCTAATGAGCTTTAACCGACATACAAGACATAACAATACAATAAAAAATACACATGCAATAGGTTACATAACACAAAATGAAGCACTTTAACCATGGCGGTAATAAGCAGATTTATAAGCATGATAAGCTAGGTATTAAAGCTAAAAGCATACTAGGTATTAAAGCTAAAAACATAAAAAAAGTAAACTAAGCATTATTAGAGGGCTGGTAAAATGCATAGCATAAAAAATTAAAAAAATGATATGATTTAAATGGTAAAATTTTAACTTAATGTATTAATTAATAATCTGCACAAACTGCATGTGCACTTAAGTCATTTCCATTGCTTGACTTTAAAACTATTTTTAAGCTAACTGAAATTAGCTATTTTTCTAAAATCATCAGGTAGATCATTCCACAAAACAGCAGCTGTATATTTAAAAGAGTTCTTACCATAGGTTGATGTTCTAACCCTAGGCATATCTACAATATTGGAATATCTAAAGTTATATTTACAATCTTTCAATACAACTAAATCATGTAAACATGGTGGTGACAATTTGTATAAAATTTTAAAACATTCAATAGCCATGTTAGGCATACGTCTAATTTTCAGTGATGGAACCTTTGCTCGTACAAGTTAATCATCATATAGATGAACTAACATAGTCTTCATATATAAATCGTAAAGCCCTTTCCTGATTTTTTTTTCCTAATTTAGTGGTATTATTTTTGTTGCAAAAATGCCATGCCAAAGGACAAAAATTAAAATTAGATAAAATAAATGTGAGAAAAATAGTCAATTTATTTAATTTAGTAAGATAGCAACCAATGCGCTTTAAAACATTCAGTTGTTGAGATGCTTTACGACAAATATTTTTAATGTGGTGATTAAAATTAAGTTGATAATCAACATCAATACCTAAAAGTTTGACAATCTCATCACATGATATTTTAGCTGACTGTATATCAAAAACAAGCTTGTTTGTAAATGTGTTATTTCTAACTGCAATGGCTTGGAATTTATCACCTGCATACAATTAAATCTATACCAATCAATTAAATCAGCACTTTCTCTTTCAAGTGTACAAAATAAATTTTAAAAATCGTTGTCAGCATATAACAGAGTATTATCGTCAGCATAATTATACAGGGTACCATGTTCAATAAAATAGAATGTCATTTATAAAAATATCAAATAATAGAGGTCCGAAGATTGAGCCTTGGGGTACCCTTTCTGGATGTCAGCCCAACTGCTGAGTACTCCATGAAGTTAGATTTGTTGCCTACGATCTGTAAGATAATTTTGAAGTAATTTCACTGATTTTGAAGAAAGACCATAGGCAGATTATTTACATAAAAGGATGTCATGTGGTAGACAGTCAAAACGACTCAAAAGCTTTCGAAAGATCCATTAGTATTGCTGCCACATACATATTTTTATCCAGAGCTGTTTTCCAATCTTCAAGAAGCCTCAGCAAAGTTGTCTGACATCCATGACCTTTTCTAAATGTACATAAAAAGCATGAAATATATTTTCAGTTAACTGGTCATACACAACCATTTAAATTTATATACTTTTGAAATTGTAGGTAAAATGCTCACAGGCCTGTAGTTCTTTTTATCAAGTGGATCGGTTTTTTTTTCTGTGTAGTGGTACGACCTGAGCTTCTTTAAGTCTGTTTGGAAATTCACTTGATTCTATAGTATTATTTATAAGTGTTGTAATATGTTTGTTCAGTACTGGTGTACCAGCTCGTAATAGCTTAGATGATATCTGATCTACTCCTGTAGCTTTTTTATATTGATCTTTTTCACCAGTTTGTGTACAGTGTCGACATGTATAGGTTTAAAATCAAAAAGTTTATCATATTATATATGTTAGATTTAATTTTCAAAATACTAAGGTGTGTTTTTTCTTCAAATATAGTACCTTTGCCTATGTCGTTGGCATTATTATTACAAAAAAGTATCAAAGCTGTCACAAACATCAGTAGTGTTGTTTCAAATGTTATTTTCTTCCACTAGTACAATTTTTTGTTGGCTGCAGGTAGAGAGAAATGGTTACTTCGTGCTTACTGTATGAAATGGATAAAACAGGAAAAAGCTGACAAAAAATCTTTGGACTCTTTTTTTAATTCAGTAATGAAGATAGTTGATATACGTATACAACATTTTAACGAACATTTTACTCTTAACAACAACCATAACAATCCTATTTCTCGTATCAAACATAAACTTAAAGAACTAGCCAAGGAATTTGTTTTTGTCCCGGCTGATAAAGCTGCTAATAATATCATTATAGTTTGACGTAAATTTTACATTGAGGTTCTGCAAAAGGAAATCACGAATTCACCAACATTCCAACTGACTTCATTTTCAAAAAACGATATCTGTAACAAACATAAACTATTAGCTACTTCTTTACAAGCAGAACCAAAAACAATGAAAGTCCCAACTATGTACTGGCTTCCGAAGCTACACAAATCACCTTACAAATATAGATTTATTTCGTCTTCAAGTCATTGTTCCACTACTAAATTGTCTATTCTACTTACTAGTACACTTGGTACAATCAAAAACCTGATAATAAATTGTTCAAATAAGACCTTTGAAATTGTTGGAATTAACTACTTTTGGAGTGTCAAAAACTCGTTGGAAGTACTTGATAAATTGCATGCATATATTGGTGATTTTGAATCTGTTCAAAGTTTTGATTTTTCTACCCTATATACCACTTTGCCTCATATTCTTATTAAGAAAAAATTCACACACCTAATTAAATGGGCATTTAAAAAGTCGGAATGCGAATACATATGTTCAAACTCTTTTAGGTCATTTTTAGTAGCAACAAACAAAAGAGCTATGTCAATTGGACATGCTTTGATACTATATCTGCCCTTGAATTTTTACTTGATAACATTTTTGTTCGCTTTGGAGATTCCGTATATCGTCAAGTTATCGGAATTCCAATGGGGACTAACTGTGCACCACTCATTGCGGACCTGTTTTTGTATTGTTATGAGTTACAATTTATGACTAAGATCAGCAAAGACCCATTGAAACAACATCTGATACAAAAATTTAACAATACTTTTAGATATTTGGATGATATATTGGCTCTCAATAATGACGACTTCAGTATGTATACTAAAGAAATTTATCCTGTTGAACTTACTTTAAATAAAGCTAATACTAACAATGACCACTGTCCTTTCCTTGATCTTGATATCTATATCATTAACGGGGAGCTTAATACAAAAAATTATGATAAAAGAAATGATTTTTCATTTCCTATCGTTAATTATCCATTTTTAGATAGTGACGTTCCCTTGTCACCATCTTATGGTGTTTATATATCTCAACTTGTACGATTCGCTCGTGTATGTAACAACGTATTAGATTTTAGCGAGGGAAATTTATGTATTACTGAAAAATTATTACACCAGGGTTTTCGATATCATAAACTAGTCAAAACATTGACTAAATTTTATCATCGGTATAAGGACATCATTCGTAAATATAACTCAAAATGCAGACATCTTATACGTTCGGGTATTTCACATCCAATCTTTTATGGTAATATTCTTTACAAAGCACAAAAATGTCAGTATTCACCTCAAAAGCTAACAAAACCTTTAAACAGACTTATTAAGAAGGGATATAGTTACGATACTGTTGTCAGGTCATTAAAGATTGCATATTTTGGCTTTAATATTGATTCACTTATAGGGTCTTTGCATCGGAATTAAACATATTTATTCTAAAACCAGTTGTTGGCAAGACACGGGTTATGTTCTTCTCATAAATTTTATGATGGTATAATACTAAACCCCTAACAGGAGGGATTGTGCCTGATATTCATATGATGAAGACATAATCTTTCAATCATGATCAGTTTAATTGAGGTCTTGAGCTGGCATGTCAGTAACTGCTAGTAGTCTGTTGTTATATATGTATTATTGTCATTTTGTTTAATTTCTTTTGTTTCCTATTCTGACATCGGACTCGGACTTCTCTTAAACTGAGTTTTACTGTGCGAACTGTTGTACGTTTGTTTTTTTTTCTACATTGGCTAGAGGTATAGGGGGAGGGTTGAGATTTCAAAAAACATGTTTAACCAGCCGCATTTTTGCGCCTGTCCCAAGTCAGGAGCCTCTGGCCTTTGTTAGTCTTGTATCATTTTTAATTTTAGTTTCTTGTGTATAATTTGGAGTTTAGTATGACGTCCATTATCACTGAACTAGTATACGTATTTGTTTAGGGGCCATCGGAAGGACGTCTCCGGGTGCGGGAGTTTCTCGCTGCATTGAAGACCCATTGGTGGCCTTCGGCTGTTGTCTGCTCTATGGTCGGGTTGTTGTCTCTTTGACACATTCCCCATTTCCATTCTCAATTTTACTGAGTTTTTTAGATGAAACATTTGATATTCGAATGCCACCTATATATATAATAGTTCTATGATAAAATGTGGATTAAATTGTAAAAGAGAAGCGAAAGATACCAAAGGGACATTCAAACTCATAAGTCGAAAATAAACAGACAACGCCATGGCAAAAAATAAAAGACTAAAACTGTAACAACAGTATACAACACACAACATTGAAAACTATAGCCTGGGACCGAGCAACACGAACCCCACCAAAACCCGGGGGTGTAAATATTTCCATAGTGTAAAACACAAGTGCTAGATTAAATTAGTTTTTATTCAAATAAACCTAGATTTCTTGAAATATTACCGGAAGTTGTATTAATGTGTTTTGAACTCAGAAAATTATCTTATAGTACAAATATGTTTATGTGTAACCCATTCGAATATGTTCCTGCTATTATATGTAATCTATTTATTCATACTTTTTACACATATACTTATGGCTATGATCTGGCTGTGGGCTTTAGATCATAAGGTGATTATATATTTATATATGATTGTCACAATGATTTGTGACTCTCAGTTATAAAAATCATTGTAATAAATTACTTTGCTCACAATGGGCCTTTTAATTGGAATAACAATATCTTATTTTAGAGCTTTTTTTAAGTTTTTATAATATTTACCATTGAAGTGTTATTCAGAAATTCACAAAACCTTCTAATGTGATCAGAGATACAATATTAGTTTGGTTATCATACACTTCTCTCTTGTGCTGACAAGTTCCTTGCTTGTTTTTGTTTTTGTTTTGTATAAGAATAAGAATAAGAATATTTATTATTCCAATCAAGGGCCCTTGATGGGCAGCATAACATGTACACATAAAACAATACATCATGATTTGTAACAGAAAAACATTTTTATATATTAAAATGATATAGTGATTTGTTTAATATACTGGATAACAAATGTTTATGTAAATCGAACTGTTATGAAAGTTCGAAATAGGATTGTCTGTTCAATGGATTTCAACATTTTGAATATATTTGCTCCTGTCAGATTTTCTTTCTACAGCGGTTTTTTAAGATATTAGACAAAACTTAAGTTTACCCTTTGTTCTATTGAAGCCATGTTGGCCATGTTGGTTGGCAGGTGTAGTCATCGGACACATTTTTTAAACAAGATACCCCAACTGTGACCAAGTTTTGGTTAAATTTTGCCCAGTAATTTCAGAGGATTTTTGTAAAAGTTAACATACGGCGGACGACGACGGACGTCAAGTGATAGCAGTATCTCACACTGTCCTCTGGGCAAGGTGAGCTGAAAAGGGTAAACATGTCCATGAATATGTAGGGTCACTCCTTGGAAAACACACACACACACATATATATATTGTTGTGCTGTTATTTGGAGTAGTTATGATTATAAAATGTGTTTTCAGCCGTAATGCATGGATGGATCTGTCGTAGAGTTGACGAGGAAAGGTAACACTAGACCACTGAAAACAGAATTATAAGTTCAGTCTAGGTGGCCGAGTGGTCTAGAGCGATGAACACAGTGCAGGCGGTGTTGTCTCGATATTCCATTAGCATGAGTTCGAATCCCGGCGAGAGAAAAACAAAAATTTGAATATTGGTGTGCTGTTATGTAGAATAGTTATGTATATATATACAAGTCTAAATTGAAAACAACGTTCAAACCAATGATTGCGTTGAGTAAAAACCGCAATTTTTATACGTGTGCATGCAAAACAAATTTCTTGGTAGAAGGGTCTAAATACAACTGAAACAACATTATATATATTGGGCATTGCATGTCCAGAAGGAGTGTTGTGTGAAATGGGTTTATCCGGGTCAACAAGAATGTATGGTCTCCCTCTGCCAGCTGCAACTTCTGAAGTGAAAAAAAATATAAATAAATGAATGTTAGTAGTGCAACACGTGTTTGTTTTTGGAACTGAATGACCTTTAAAAAGTGTAACATTTATATACTTAGAGCAATCGCGTGACGGTGAGCACTATTGACAATCTTACGAAGCGCTTATAGGGAGCAACCATTTAACTTCAAGGGGGGTGGGTTATGGTTTTTTTTGTCTGAGTCAGAATTTTTTTTTCGCCCAAAGCGCGAACATTTTTTTTAATTTTTCGACGCTATCAATCAAATTATTTTTTTTCAAAATTTAACACTAAAAGGTACAATGTATGGGGAAAATCTGGATTCAGAATATTTTTTTTGTCATCTGCTTGACCACAATATTTTTTTTCATCAAATTGGGTAACAGAATATTATTTTTAGGAAAAAACCATAATCCCCCTTGAAGTTAAATGGTCGTTTCATCCCTTCCGTAAGTTTTACGGACGCCATCACGAGTTGGTTGACCATTATGGAATATCCGTTTCACAGATGATAGCGGATATGTTCCTAATGTCGTAACTACAATCCCGTCCCCTTTTCCCGAATGTGACCTACCGATTTAGACTTATTACGGGGTCTGTACTAACATGAGCAACACGACGGGTGCCACATGTGGAGCAGGATCTGCTTACCCCATCCGGAGCACCTGAGATCACCCCCAGTTTTTGGTGGGGTTCGTGTTGCTCAGTCTTTAGTTTTCTATGTTTTGTGTGCTATTGTTTGTCTGTTGGTCTTTTTCATTTTTAGCCATGGCGTTGTCAGTTTATTTTCGACTTATGAAATTGAATGTCCCTCTGGTATCTTTCGCCTCTCTTTTTCTTAAATCTGCTGGATAGTTGTTTCATTGGCAATCATACAACATCTCCTTATTTTTTTCAAATCACCCAAGTATAAAAGAAATTTTGAGTAACAGAAAGCATGTTTCTGAATTTGAATTTAAGAAAGTATCTAACGAAAATGTCAATAAAATCTTGAATAAAATAAACATCAAGAAGGCTACAGGAGCTGATGGTAGTCCAGCAAAAATATTAAAAAATTGTAAATCTTATATTGCACCACAGCTGACAACTCTTGTAAATTTGTCAATTGAAAATAACTGTTTCCCTGATAAACTTAAAGAAGCCCAAGTGACCCGCTTCATAAAAAGAGTGACCCATTATTAAAAACAAACTATAGACCAGTTAGTGTCTTACCCATATTTTCTAAAATCTTTGAAAAAATATATTAAATTCAACTAACTGAATACTTTGATAAAATATTTAATCCTTTTTTGTGTGCTTTTAGACGTGGACATGGATGTCAGACCACACTTATCAGAGTGTTAGAAGATTGGCGTGAAGCTCTTGATAAAAACCAGTACATTGCAGCGGTATTAATGGATCTCTCTAAGGCTTTTGACTGCCTGCCTCACAATATCTTGCTAGATAAATTATCAGTATATGGTGTATCCCCCCATGCAGTTGCTCTTTTAAAGTCCTATTTATCTAATCGTAAACAACAAATTAAGGTCAACAATGTTCTGAGTGGTTGGGCTGACATCCATAAAGGCGTACCACAGGGTTCTATACTAGGGCCATTGTTGTTTAACATATTTATAAATGATATTTTTCTTTTTGTTAAAAATGGTAGTTTATATAACTATGGAGATGACAATACTTTGTCTTTCTGTACTACAGATTTTGATTTATTAATTTCAACTTTGGAATCTGAGTCAAAAATACTTATTGAGTGGTTCCGGGTGAATAAAATGCAAGCAAATCCCGACAAGTTTCAAGTTTTGGCTGTTGGCAAAAAGACCTTTGAACAAAACCCATCTATACATATTCAAAACTCGAACCTTACATGTGAAAAAACAGTAAAATTATTAGGCATTGAAATTGACTATCAGTTAAATTTTGATGTTCATATCAGCTCAATCTGTAGGAGGGCATCACAGCAATTAAATGTTTTAAAACATTTGGGCTCAGTTTTGGATAGACTTAGTAAACTTACTATTTTTCATACCTTTATTCTTAGTAATTTTAATTTTTGTCCTTTGGCATGTCATTTTTGCACTGAGAAAAATTCCAAAAAATTAGAAAAGGTGCGGGAAAGAGCACTCCGTTTTGTATATGAGGATTTTACCAGCCCTACGAGGACCTCTTACTTAAAACTAAGGTGCCCTCCTTGCAGATTAGACGGATTAGAACAATGGCTCTAGAAACTTTTAAGATTATAAATAATATAGCTCCTGTGTGCTTACAAAATTTGGTGAGTGTCAAAAAATCTAAGTATTCTTTCAGGTATGTAAATATTCTGGATGTTCCACAAGTAAAGTCAACCCGTTACGGTAAAAAATCTTTCAAATTTGCTGCCGCTACTTTATGGAACAGCCTTCCAAACCATTTCAGGACTGAAAATAGTTTTTCACATTTTAAAAGTCTTGTTAAGTCCTGGAACGGTTTGAAATGTCGCTGTTCTGCTTGCAGATAATTCTTGAGATGTTTATTATTTATGTTGCTTTTGATTGCTTTGGTCTAGCATGTTTTATTTCATTTTAAATTTGTTGCTAATTTTTTTATTGCATGCTATGTAAGTGAGATTTAACTTCGTATAACAGGTTGTTTTATATGTCAAATTAGACTGTTTTTATGTTATGTATATGTTTTTATATTCGGTCAAAAGCTCATTAGAGCTTGTGTTATGTCTTTTAACTTATGCCGAATCAAAATAAAGTTTTCTTATCTTATCTTATCTTATATACGATTTTTAAAGGTTAGCGCTGAGGGTGTAAACTCTATTACTGAAGATATAAATCCCAGTCCCACAGAGTAAAGTTCACTACTGGAGATGTGAGGTATATAGCGAGATGTCAACTCCAGCGCTGAAGATTTAAATTATATTGTAAAGTTGTACAACATGTATTTGTTTTGAGCATTCAGAACTGCCTGTTGGGGTCCAAAAGGGGAAGGGAAGTCCCTTTATAAAAAGTATCTTGAGATAATTCTCTGGAATCATCTCCCCCTACCCCTCCAAAAAAACACCCACACACAAAATAAAATAAAAACAAAAGCAATTTTATAACCTGCAATGCACTTATACAGCATTGGTCCTTAGGGACTGTTATCGATCAAAAGAGTTATGTCAATGAGTAATAGCACATTCACTCTAATCTGCAACCCACTTACCTGTCAACACTGAGGTTTTGAATTCGAACACCGCATGTGGCAGTTTCGTCCGACTCCAACCTTAGTTGACTAGAATTGAGAGTTTTCCTGTCGAAGACGGTCGTTCTCTCCATCTCTAGCATTGGACTTTACATCTTCAGCGCTGTTGTTTAAATCTTTAACGCTAGAGTTTACATCCCTAGCGCTAGACTCTATATCTTAACCGCTAGTTGTGCGTCTTTATGCTCTACACATTACACCATCATTGCTAGACTTTACATCTCTAGCGCCAGACGATACATCCTCAGTGCTAGATTTTATAGCCCTTGTTCTGGACATTATAGCTTCTGAGCTAACCTTTACGTATAAAAATAAAAAAAATGTGGTATGATTGCCAATGAGACAACTCGCCACAAGAGACCAAATGATATAGAAATTAACAACTATAGGTCACCGTACGGCATACAATGAGCAAAAGCTTTACTGCATTGTCAGCTATAAAATATTTCAAATAATTCAAACGAGAAAACTAACGGCCTCATTCATGAACAAATTAATGAACGAAAAACAAATATGATATACAGCAACAAACGACAACCACTGAATTACAGGCTCTTTACTTTGGACAAGCACGTACAGAATGGCGCCAACCCTCCTCTAACCTGGGACAGTGGTGTAACAGTACAACATAGGAACAAACTATAAAAATCAGTTGAAAAGGGCTCAACTCATCAGATCGGTACAAAGCAGAAATACATCTTACAAAAACGCAGACCGGACATGGCAGGGTACTCATACATCCCCACAACAAAAAAGACAATAAGTACAGATCTGAGAGTACTCACAGTTACTGGCAGTTCAAAGCCGATTACAACTAATAAAAAAAATCATGCATCTAAGACTAAAAAGTACACATCCAACATCCAATGCATTTAGTGTAAAGACGTCATTAACAGTCAGAGAAAAGCATGACATTGTGCAATGCGAATACGGGTGTCGGCAGATTGAAGAGCCATGGATATGCATATGCATATAAAAGATAATTTAGTTTGATTTTGATTTACTCAGGGGTGGATTCAGGCGGGGGCGTGGCGGGCGTGCACCCCCCTAAAATTTGCAAAGCATGTGTTGTCCTCAGCTTAATAAAGAATATTTCGGTAATTTTACCTCAAAAAAATTTAAGTTTGCGCCCCCTAACCTTAAATCCTGGATCCGCTCCTGTTACTGATAATAAAATCAATATTAATATTAATACCAATTAGAACAATAATCAAAGATATAATTACAGTGTTGAATTGGTAACCTTTTAGAATAAGTTTATTTAAAGGATCGATAAGTTTACCCGGATCGTACATGATCTAAATTTCCGGGCTCCGTAAACAACATCTCCGTAAAAATTAGGATGTGCTATCCCTTTTAAAATAGGTTTTCTACAGGTAAAACCAAACTTCATATATAGTTTACATCTTCAGCCCTAAAAGTTACCCTCAAAAGCTAAACTTTAAAAGCAACAAATTGTCTGTAGTTATAGAGAACAAAATTAAATATATGTTTCTTCATACTATAGAGGCCAGAAGGAGTTAATTCCGCATGAAATTACTTTCGGTTTCATCAAGTAATATGAAATAATTTGATCAGGCAGGGTTGAAATTTAGTAAGGTTAAAGCTTGTCCACCATCGCTGGACAGCACAGACATTCCATTTTTTTTCTTATATTACAAGAGAAAATGAATAAAATAACCAGAGCTGAATCTGATTCAAGAATGATTGACTATTTTGTTGCAAATAATTTCCACACATTACTTTAGTCACGATTGTTCATATTTTCTTATGAGTTTCAGTTAGGAACACACGAATTGTGGAAAGTTAGAAACAGACGAGATAAAAAAAATCAATATAAGGGAAACCACTCTAAATGTCTTGTGATAAAATTGCACCAGGATAGGGTCGATAAGATAAGTCAACAATAAATATCAAAATGAAAGGAAAAAAAAGTAAATAAACATCAAGACGTGTCATCAGTCTGAGAAACAAGCGATTGGTTTACATTATTCTGTCCCTTAAATCTCTTTTTACTGGAATGTGTCACTATTTCCATCTTCATGATTATGATAAGGTCGAAAAAATAAGATAAAATATATGAAAAGGTAACTGATTAAACCTTTGTATCTGAAACTAATCAAATGACGATTTTGTTTACAGATTTAATTAAAACCAGTGTCGAAAATGCATCACATATTTGTAAAATCTATTTATTTCACCATGAAATAGATTAATCATTATATATAGCTATATTTTGTAAAAAAAAATCGTGAAACGGTATGTATTTTTCATATACGAAAAGAGTGGGGTATTGGATATCTCAGCTGCTCAATCCTAGCACAAAAGGATCGAGGTGGCCCCGAGAGTTCATAAATTGATTCTGTTATACTTTTAAATTTAAAGTACACAAGTGAATTTGACTGGGTTTTTTTTTAAAGAATATTTTTATGTAGACCAGTATTCTATTTCACTTTTACTTTGATAATACCTTGTTTTTAATAATTTTAAAACAATGGTTATAGTAAATTGAATATAATAACGGGTGTAAATAAGTGTTACTAAAGGCAAGTTATGAAATGCAGAATACATTAAAACAATCACAACAGACAGTCACACCAATAAAATAGGAAGAAGTGTACTCAATTTCGCGATAGTATTTTAAAAATACACACGTATACAAAGATCATATAAGGTCGTGAAAGGAACATGAAAGAGCATATGATATGACAGCATTTTTCTATTAAAATCAGTAAAGAAAACGCCTTCCGAACAGCGTTTTATTGCTATTCTTCATCTTGATTAAAAGTAATTATTTTGAGTTCCCTGGAGACATCTTGCAGAGAGACAAGACCATAACTAGAAAATTTGGGATTTCATTCTATTTTAAATGTGCTTATTAAAACTATATATATATGGATCTAACAAAGATTTACAGTGGCGCTTAACTGCTGTAGTTTCACTATCAATTAGTTATATAATTGACATAACAAAAACTTCCCACTTAACAAAAAGATAAAATAAAACATGATACGTTTAAATCAAAATTGACTGCAATCAGGGTGAAATAAATGATTCAAATAAGTGACAATGTACCATGAGATTTTTATCAGAAGTACTTGCGGTCATCATGATTAAACCTGGTGATAAATCAATGTCCTTCTGAATTAGCGTATCATATATTATACCTGGTCAGTTGTAAAGTGGTCATAAATCTATGTATTTGGTTTGGTGTAGAAATAAACAAGTATACAAATAAGCATTAAATTCAATCCTAGAAGATTTAATGCCTCTGAATGACGTTCGAACAACCCCGTTAGCATCGTATGATACATTATATATTCAACCTTTTAGTTCATTCATGGTTTTGTATGTGTAAGCAATATATTGCTTGTGTGCACCATCTTCGGTATTAAACTAACAATATCGCTTAACAAGAAAACGTCCTCTTGCACTTTTTAAACTCTAGGACTGGAAAATTGAATTTTACACTACAATTTTAACCTTAAAATGTTTCAGAACCTTGTTTTACTGTCTTTGAGTTCCTCTTGTGATCTCCATACTTTTCCTCTACGGACTTAACTTTCGGGTTGGTATAGTTCTTCTATTATCGTCTTGAGATGTTGATACCGGATTAGGAACGTAGACAATCTATCAAGGACCTTCTGTTAGCTTTCCTGGATCCTCCCAAATTTCCTTACTTGCCCATATCACGCAGATAAGTTATGGCTGAGGAAAGGGTGTTGAGTATTTTTAAGATCTCCTCCACTACCAGCTCTTGTTGATTCTGTGAGAACATTGTTTATTTGTCAGTGAGCATTGGATTGGTTTTCGACAAACATTTCGTAAATGTGAGCAAACTTTTCGGTACCTTATGTTCTTTGTCTTTTTGGTAGGTTTCACTTTGTGTGTGTGTATAGTGACTTTCTGATTAGTCGAGGCTTTTCCAAATGATTTGTATTGTTTGTTCTCATGTTGTGCACTGTCAATGTATGTATTTATATAAAAATAAGGAGATGTGGTATGTTTGCCAATGAGACAACTATCAATCAGAAACCAAATGACGTGGATGTAAACAACCATAAGTTACATTACGGCCTTCATCAATGAATAAAAACTTTTATACCGTGTAATAAAAACACAGTTCAAGTGAGAAAACCAACACCCTTTATGGTAAAAACCAAGTGATAGGGTTAAACCAACATGTTTTACTCCGCCACTCTGTATGTACCTGTCCCAAGTCAGGGGCTTGTAATTCAGTAGTTGTCTTTCGGTGATCAATAGTTGTATATATCCACGTCATTGTTCTCTGGTCGATATGCATCATATCATATCTTTTATTTAAAGGCAATTGGATAGATGCTATCAAAAAGTCAACACTGCACCTTTATTTTTTCAGTGAGGCCGGAGACATCATTCATATAGTGAAATGAAGTAACAGAACAATGCTAGCTTCTATAAAGACATCAGTGTATAAAGTCTGTCTCAAATGAATAAAGGAATAAGTCGGTGAATTTGGTTCGCATAAGAAAGTCAACTGTCTATTGAAAAATACGGGCGAACATATATGCAAATATTACAAATACTATGTCAGTCAGGATATCAAGGCTGAAGCCAAATATATCTATGATATATCAAATTATGATTGTTGACATGTGTTTGTTTGATGTTTTTCTTTGTATCGACCTGATGAATTAAGCCTTTTTCAACTGATTTTTGTAGTATGTTCTTATGTTGTGCTGTTGAACCACTGTCCCAGGTTAGGGGACGGTTGAGCGCTCACAAACATGTTTAAACCCCGTCACATTCTTTATGTGCTTGTCCCAAGTCAGGAGCCTGTATAGTTCAGTGGCTGTCGTTGGTTCATGTCTGTCATATTTGTTTTTCGTAAATTGTTTTGTTATAAATTAGGCCGATAGTTTTCTCAATTGAATTGTTTCATATTTTTCATGTCGGGGCCTTTTATAACCGACTATTCGGTATGGGTTTTTCTCATTGTCGAAGGCCGTACGGTTGTCTATAATAGCTTACATCCACTTCATTTTAAACTTTGGTGGATAGTTGTCTCATTGGCAATCATACCACATCTCCTTATTTCTATATGTAAAAATGAATCCTTATCTGCTTATTTTAGTTGTTAACGTCGACCTTAGACAATAGCTATAATTGTATTAGTCCCATTTAACACTATGGCTAATCCAGGGGTTTTCCAGGGGTTAGACTCGCTTTTTTTCGATTTTCTTTCTTTTCTTTTTAATTTTGTAAACGTTTCATGGTGTTCCGAAGGTTGGATCCCCTTTCAAAATGGCTGGGTGCTCGATTGTAATAGGGGATTGTCCAAGTTAATACGGGATGGTCAAGGGATACAGCACATCTTTACAACGGTCTAATTAAATGCCATTGACCACTGAACTACAGGCTCCTGACTTGGGACAGGCACATAAATAAATATTTTTAATAACATATTTGAATTTACTAGGATAAACATAGCTTGTATGCAAATTTTCGTAAAAAAATCACCATGGGATCAAAACTGTATCGTATGCCCTTAAACATACTTATATCCACATTTAAAGCGAAGAAATAATCCTTAAATATGGAAAAAAATGTGATTCCTCCCTTTCACCAGTAAACCGTAGTCAGTAGGTATCATCTACCGATATTTCTGTTCTTCGTCTGAAAAGAAAACTCTTTACACATGTGGTTAAGTCTTAATTACGCCATTTTGGTCGACTTTGAAATCGTACTATTTCGACTGTTTCTTCAAATCCAGAATGTTTTATCTGTGATACATTTTTTGGTAAATCGGATACTTAATTAATCTTCTTTTTTTATACAAAAGAATCTCTCTAAAGGAATCTGCGACTACTCAGTATAACGCATCAGTGACTACTATAACACATCTGTGTTATTGTAGTCTCAGGTAGGAATTTATAATTCAAATTCCAACTCAAACTCAAATTATTGTATAAACCTATTATCACAAGACGCAAAGACGGGAAAATGAAACATAACTTAGGAAAAAAAAGATATACAATATAACTGCTTTTATTCAGCCTTTCACACACAACTATCTCATACTGATCGGAATTGATTGATCACAACATTATCATAAAATTTACCTATTTGGTTTTGTAATATGAAAAAGATTTCCGTTACTTCTATATTTCTTTTTCTGAATTTCTGAAAGCACGTCATTAAGAGCTATCTTGTCATAATTTATTTAAACATTTTATTTTTTAGGTTTTCTTACTATCTTCACAAAATTGGGTTTTCTATGAACTATGAATTCTTACTAAAATAAATAGACATATACAAGTAATATACATCTGGTAAAATCTTTACAAAATCTGGCAATTTTGAAGAGCTTTGAACGGAGTATCGATATATCTTTAAAAATAGTCAGTGAACCATTATTTATATTTTAGACATTAGCATGGTCAAAGACATATGAACATGTGTATATATGTCTCTGGCATGGTATCCACAGTCACTTCATTTTACCAGAGACATATATACACATCTCTGTGTATATATGTCTCTGATTTTACAATTCTAAATTTAACAATTCTATAGGTTGATTTAGACCTCCCCCCCCCCCCCCACTCCTTCCCATCTGCCATAACTACTATTTATATATATATATATATATGCTACTACTACTGGAAGTGTTTAACGACCTTGACTGGCTGTTATATATATATATATATAATTAGTTTCAGTTTACATAACACTTTTTTGAAACATACTTTACTACAAAATATTGTAAGTTGTATGAGTGTAATAATATTACCCAATCAAAATGTTTGACACTAACAGGCTTAAATACCAGCCAATCAGAATACAGCCCGCCAAACAATTGGTCGCGTCTGTCAAGAAGAAAGGGTGAAAAGGTAAATAAATAATATTTCAAATTAATATAGCATGCTTACTTATTAATTCGTTTGATAATATAATGCAATTTTCTCCCAATTAATGGTGCACATAGGTTTTAACATATATAAGTAGAGTAGGTTACTGCTGACAACCTACAAGCATTTTTTGTTTGTTTCAATGAATATGTCGTTGTCAGATTACTGTTATTTGTTTCTTCCAATATCATTATCAAGAATGTTGAGTAAAACGTTTCAATTGCATGTAATGTTGTAGCATAGTAAAATATTGTTAATAATTTATTAATTTAGTTGTACACTTCAGAGTCCACGTGTCTTTGTTTACTTTTTTAGAACTTATTTTCGTGAGTACTCGGCATCCAACAAATTTTGTGTTGCGGTTCGTTTGGTACGATATGACCCACATGTATTATAACGAAATTCATTTCGGGTATTCATTTTCGCTTTCCCATTAGTAAGTCCGTTCATAATGTTAACTGAAAAGGATCAGGATCGTTCTTGTATTTCACAACAGTTACTTTCGATTCATCTTTTGAGATTTTTATGCATAGCCACATAAATTTTAAAATAAGTCAACACTTACAAATATATACAAGGAAACGTTTAATTAAAGTAAAAATTGAATCTGAGACTATAAAGGCAAATTTATAATCAAATAATTGAAATAAACATTTCTATTTTCAGTTTCATTTATATAAAATGTCAAAATGAAAAGGAAGTTTCAGTACTTCAAACTTTTTCAATGCTTTGAATATATTGTATTGTATTTTAATGTTATGATTTTGTTAAATGAGTTTTCACCATTAGCAATTTAGAGACAGAACGTTCATGTACAAGAACTGAAAGTAGAACAGTGAAGTCAGATCCTTTTAAGCTTGGACACAGCATCTGTATTATAAATTTATAATCAGTTTTGAATTCAACTAAGGATAAAGGCACATTAAAAAAATGTAATAATAGCATGCTTAATGTTTTAATAGTAATATATTACTGGAAAAAATTATGATTTTTTTATTCCACAGGTGAAAAACTTAAAGAATAGAAGATGGCATCACCAAGAACGGTAAATTGCTAAAAACAAAATAAAAACCTGCAAAGGCTACATGTACATCAAATTCACTGTTCTTTCTTGGAATTTCACCCTCAAAGTCATATGTTACTTTAAATTAAACAAAAAGGAGGAATATTTTTTATATACTAAAAAGGCAAAGTTTTACTATAAAATATATGGTATAGGGAATTAAAAAATAGGCTAGTACTTATGTAATCGGAAGTCTATTAAAATTGTGTAAACACTTGTACTAAATGTACAAAAAATGGTGTACACTTTTGAAAATATTAGAAAAAGGAAATTAGAGTAGTTTGTGCCCAGTATTATTTTCTTTCACAGCTTTTTTCGATGATATCGATACATTTATAGTACCACTGTACAAGTAGTATACAGATAGTAATCAGTATCTGACAAGTACTTACTATGTGTTATCTTTTGACCCTATACATGTAGTCAAGCAGTAAATTGTAATCCACCCATAAATCATTTTTGCATCACTGAATATATATACCTTGATGCTATATTTTTTTACCCTGATGCCTCAATAAAAAATTGCCTGTTTCCACTCAGACTCCCAAGGTAATTGTATAAGAGTTAGATGCCGTTTCAACCTTTCAAAGAATAAGGTCGATATTTGTAATTTTGTATAGTATTTTTTTTTAACCTAACCTTTGTAACATTGAAATTTGAAAAAAAATGTTCTATTTGATAAATAAAATAATGATCTTCTTTTAAGGTTATATTATACATAGATATATAGATCATTTTAGGAAATAAAATATGTGAACTGTTATCATATTTTTAAAAATATTTAAACTTTTCTTGGGTCACACAGTAGAGTTAAATAACTGAACTTTGGTCACATGATATGCCTTGAATTGAGAGGTGAATCAAACCATAGTCCATCAAAGTCTGCTTCTAGGTTGACAGGTAAATTGTATTGTTATTTTGAATTAAAGAAATGTTTGGATCCAATATCCATAACTGATAATTATCTAAAAATGTTTTTTTAATATTTTTATAGTCTGTTTCTAAATAGTTGACATTTATTATTTTGTTTCATAACCTTCATATTGTGTGACATGCTGCTGTTAATAATATATCATGCTGGGTAAGGTGTACAGTGAAGATTTTATTAAAAGAATTTTCATGGGTTATTACATTTTTTATTCATTATTTATTATTATTCTTCTGCCACTGAACCTTAACACAGATTTTCCATTGAGAATTAAAAAAAAATAGAAAATGTTTAAGGCCAAACAGACTGTTCACTGACTGGTGTCCTTTGAACCACTGCAGGGAACACCACATGCTATTGAAGGGTTGCAGGTTCTAGGCATGGAGCAGATGCAAACTGTGTTGTAAGTCACTGTCCCAGTTTTAAAGCCTTTAGGGGCTTGACTCATCAGCTTGGTGCTAAACACAAAGCAAGAACAAAAAAAAATAGAAGACACAAACCACTGATCTAAGAACTTTTACTCTGACAGTTATTAAAAGCTAATTGAAAGTCCAATTTCAAGACTTAACAAATCGTTTTCTCCCATGCTTTATTGTAAGTCAATATCAAGTATTGAATCTGCCATTATGATGTATTTAAGTTTAAAATAAGAAGATGTGGTATGATTGTCCATGAGACAACTCTAACCAGAGACCAAATGACAGAAGTTGGCAACTACATGTAATACAGTATAGGTAGCTATAATGAGCAAAACTCATAGCGCATAGCAAGCTATAAAAGATCCAAATATGACAAATGTAAATTCAAATGTGAAAACTAACGGCCTGATTTATGTACAAAACAATTAACGAAAAACAAATATCATATACAGCAACAAACAATAACCATAGATTTACATGTTACAATTGCCTTGTTAAAATCATTGCTTAATATTGTGAAAACCACTCAATTCTTTAAAAACATGGATTTTGTATTTATTTCTACTGTGTACATGTACAATGTATGTCCTAATACAGGATACAGAATGTAAACTGGTTATTTTCCCAAAATTTTAGTTCAACCGATTTTTAGTTGGTCTGAAAATTATCACAGTTTTTCAAACCAAATGTTCAAAAGTTCTATGAATTCTTGGAAGTCTGCTGTGTGTCAATCTTCCTTAAGGCAAAGCCTTCACTAAATACCTGGCAGAAAGCTAACAGCTGATAATAATGTCAATAATATTCTTATACACAATTAAACAAGTTGTATTTGTAAAAGTTAGGCCATAAAAAAGAATGTTTGTTTGCCCTAACCCTACCTACCCAGAAAATAGCTGCCTACTCAAAATCTTTTATTGTCCTGATGTGAAAATTTTTTTTTTATCAATCAGAAAGGCATGAAGACTAAAAAACATCTGACACTTCAATTTCTCTTTGTGAAGTGAAAAAGTTTTTTTATCAATCAGAAAGGCATGAAGACTTAAAAACATCTGACACTTCAATTTCTCTTTGCCGAAAAAGAAAATGTCTACCTACTTACCCACTGTCTTTACCTATGGGTAGGGTTTGGGCAAACGAAAATATGTTTAAGTGTGGCCTAATATGCATGTGGATATGTCTTTACAGACTAGGTCATCAAAATCACCTTCAAGAAGGAGATCTACAAGTTCTTCTAGAAGTACTAGGTCAAGAAGTCGCAGCAGAAGTCGTAGCCGTGGGAGATCTGTTCGTTCCAAAAAATCTGTTTCCCCAGCAAAATCTTCTCCACCAAAATCTTCAAAGAGACCAGCAACACCAGCTACTGGCAAAGTGAAAAGGGAAGAAAGAGCTGTAACACCTACTAGGAGGTCTACTAGACTTGAAAATAAGGTATTATTTAGTTCAATTTTGTAATTGGGACATATTTGGGCATGAAAATGCATGTAATAAGTTTTGTGTACATGTTCAATGTTGTTCAGATATGAATTTATGATAGATACATGCTTGTTGTCAGACAGACTTACGGTCTTGTTGACAGATTTTAATATCGTCTGGTTATCTTCAGTAATGGCAGCTACATGTACATGTACAATATAACATGTAAAGTGTGGTATATAGTAACAACTGGCAAAATAGTCACCTTTATCAGGTCCTTTTTTCTTTCATTTGCTATCAAAAGCAAGATTTCCCTCAAGTCTCCCTATTTGGTAATTTGTTAATTTTTTTATTGTTTAATTATTTGATCCGGTCCCCTACTTTCATGTCCTCAATTGAAAAAAATAAAGGCAATTTGAATTGATGGGTCGTAATAATTGAACACTTGCATATAACTTACATTCTTGTACATGTAGCAGTGTATATTCAGGTTAAATACATATATATGGTTACAGAAAAAGGTTTATATAAATAAGTGAAGTATTTAACATCACCCTTGAAATCCACGAAAAATGATATACCACTAATAAAAATTAATTCACAGCAACCAATATCCATATTTTGATAAACATAAGAAGTGATTCCATATATAGTGTTTTTGACTTTGTTTACACTGGTTAAGTTTTTCACTGTTATTTTTTTGATCTGGTTGTATATGTTATTGATAGACAATTTCCTGGAAATTCCTATTTGAAAATGACAGTTGCAAAGCATCATGTCTTGGATCTGTCAAGTTGTAAAAGGGGCAAACTAATCTTATCGTTCTGTTTGTATTTTAACTTATTTCAAAGTTATTTGTCAATGCTATTACACAAATAGTGATTTTTTTAAATGCAAATACATGGTAATGATGGTTTAAATGCCATTGCATATGGCTCCCTAGTGTAATACACCTCTATAAATAAGTGAAGCGTCTTTTAAAAATCGTTTTACATAAAGTCATGAGGTACTCTCAGCTTAAAAAAATATGTAGCCAAAATACTGCTTTTTACATTTAAAGAATTGATATATTTGATCAAATTGAATGAATCATATAAATTTGAACAGATTCCCAATTTCTCCCTGACCTGTACATAAAATAGATGTCAGATATCTCTGTCAACTTCAAGTACATGTACATGCAGCTTGAAACCTACAAATGAAGCTCAGAACAAAAAGTGAAGAAAAGGTCAATCTTTAAGTATAATATACTTTACAGATGTATATAAACAAATTTAATCCATTGGAGTCATTGATGCATGATTGCCACATAACACTAAACTAAATAGTTAATATCTGGAAAGTAGCTCAAACTGAAAAAGTGATAAACACATCATTTCATTAGATACCATTTATTTTTTACAATGCTTAAGGAAGGAAAAGTAATTATATATTGATATTTACAGCTTAAAAGTTATAATATAATTGGCATTCAATGATCTCATCTTTCCTCAGTTACTTCCTCAAGAAGAGAGAAAGCCTGTTGAGTTTAAGATGATGGAAGAACCAGAGAAAGTGCGAATTGGTACAACAAAGACCAGAGAGTTTGGTGGGGCTATAGGATCATTCTTTATGGTTTTAGGATTACCTGCTGGAGTACTTGGGTTGAATATCTTATGTTCTCAGGTATGATCAATTTTCAAAATTGTTAATGAAAGAATTTGTCAATCTGTACACTCAACGGAATTCAGTTAAAAATCTCTGGTTTACTCAAGGCTGTTTCAGAATGAAAATATGGTGGGTTGTGGGTTGGAAGGCACTTTAATTATTTTTGTATGGTTGAGGGCAGGTCACAAAGTTCAAATTGTGAGGTTATATATGCAAAGTAAAATGAAATTGTATGGGTGATGGCCTTTAAAAACAAGAGGCTCTAAAGAGCCCATGTTGCTCACCTGCATCTTCAACAATAGCCATATTTTTATTAAAAATCATGAAAGGGCAATAACTCTATAAAGAGTTAACTGACAATTTAAGTCATGTTGACATATTTGTAGATCTTGTCTTGCTGTTCATTTTTTCTATATAAAGTTTTTATCTATTATAGTTTTCAAAATAATAGGCAAAAATGCAAGAAATTGGGAAAAATCATCAATCAGTCAGGGATATAACTCTATAGGGTTATTACAGGAAATAACTTGCATGTGTTATTACAGATATTTTATGAGTTGTCTACTCTTTAAACCTAAAATTTTCTAAATCTGTAATAACATATGTTTGTTATTTGTAAAATAAATCATCAACATTTAAATTTTTAGTGGGCTCTAGGGAACTCTGGAAACTTTGCGCAGAAACTAAATGCATAGCCTTGATAACTAATTTTTGAATTAAAATTAATACATTTATCATTAACCATGGTAAATCAATGAGACAAGGCTTTTAAGTGATAAACTTAGCTGTAATAACAAGGCTTAGTTATTAAAGGCATGCAACTTATTATATGAGACACTTGGGATTTACTGGGAAACTTGCGCAGAACCTCACTACATGCTCTGGTTATTATTTCTTACAATGAATTAAAATAAATTGTAATTAAGCATGATGTATGTCTGAGCAAATGCTTTGGAGTGATATAGAGAAGCTGTAATAACACCCTTTAGTTATTACAGGCCAATTTTTCTGTAATAACATAGGTGTACTATGCATGATTGTCAAAATATGAACTGTTATATCTTTCTATAGTTAAGTATACATAAAGACAATAGTAATATCAATAGAACCTGTATATATTTTAACAAAACTAATGATGTGTATTGTCCTTTTGAAACATGTAACATACATATGTTATCACAGGTTTTTGATTTTTTAGTCCACAATAACAAACATATGTTATTTTTCTCTAATAACCCTATAGAGTTATATCCTTGACTGTCAATTAAGAGCAATAACTTCAATACAGAGTTGTCAGACAATACGGAGTAGTCGGATAATTTCAGCCATGTTGACTTATTTGTAGATCTTTTTGTCCCCTGCGTGACATGTTGCAGGGGACATAGGAATACAGGACGTCTGTCCGTCCAGTTTTGTTAGGGCTCTCATGTACAATTTTTGCCAATTTTTTATCAAAGTTTTATACGTATCAGGAATGTCTGAGTCAAGTTCGAAAATCGGTACCAATCAACTATTTTAAAAAGAGTTATGCCCAAATTGCATTGTATTTGCTCTCAAACCTTCATTTCTCTAAGATATTTGTAAAATATTTTTTTAGTTATTGCCCTGTTAAACAGTTTTGAAAACCAGTGATCAACTTTTTTTTAAAGAGTTATGCCCCTTGGAAATATCATTGTTAATGCTCTCATGTGTACAATTCTTGCCAGATTTTCATGAAACTTATATCATAGGTTTATATCAGTAATGTCTCTGACAAGATCGAAAAGTGCTAATCAAATATTTTTAGCTATTTATAGCTGAATCATTGAGTCACTGGCAATTATTCTTCAGTAATTTTATCCTTTCGCTTGCATATCTAAAAACTTGCTGGAACAATGACCTTGTTGCCTATGTATTATTATTGTAGTCATCATTTTTATACACCCTATCATTTAATCATTTTTATACACCCTATCATTTAATCATTTGTATGCACCCTATCATTTAATCATTTGTATACACCCTATCATTTAATCATTTGTATACACCCTATCATTTTAATGTATCTATTTCAGAATAAATGTGCAGTGCAAATGCCAAAAATTTCAACAAACTGGAAGACATATTTTGACAAGGAAGCTGCATTAATTTATTTTGGTTGGTTCCTGTTCCAAGCTTTTCTTTACATGTTACCAATAGGAAAAGTTGTCAATGGACAGCCATTAAAATCTGGACACAGACTTCAGTACAGATGTAATGGTAATATTTGTATTATTCAGTATGACTTTCATCGATCAAACTATTTTTTCATGAGAATTAAAAGGTTAAAAGTCGTACAGTTTAGGTTTTTTTAAAGATTAAATGGGTAAAAACCTGTCTGAAGTTGTATATATAGTTCATAGTGTGTTTGCTGATATTCTATGTATTTTCTATATTATATGCCCTTTCCATGTAGTCAAACCTACATGGGGATCTTACCATGTCTTGACTTGTACATCAATTGTTTAATTTCGTTGGACACTTAAATTCGTGGATTAACCAATTTACGAAAACCACGAAAATTTGTTCCCCATGAATAAAAGTACTTTCACAGTATATGTATTTCAAAAGGTTATGTTTCTCTCTACTAGAAAGATTATGTACTCATCATAGAGCAGCAGAATATATCAACTTAATTACTTTGGTTAAATTACTCCGAAGAAATACGAAAACAGAATTTTGGAACAGGAAGTTTTAAATGAAACAAAATTATCTGCACAGTTACTGGTAACTGATGAAATGAACAAATTCCAGAAATCGTGAATTTTTGAAAATAAAAAAATCAGAGCAAGCAGGGATGAAAATCAATTAATTTTAATTGGCCTTAACAAGATGCATGTTTTTATTTCAGGATTCTTTGCCTTAATTGTAAGTTTACTGGCTTTTACTGGAGCAGTTTACTTAAAATATCCAATCCACATAGTCCACACAAAATTTATACAGCTGATCACCAGTGGAATTATCTTTAGCTTTGTTTTGAGTTTATTGTTGTACATCAAAGCTCGTCGAGGACCAAATGCCAGTTTGGCTCCTGGTGGAAATTCAGGTAATAGAATATTTTTTTACATAAAACTAGGAAAAAAAATTTTGTAATGCCTATTGTGCAAGTTATATCAAATTTGATTTTAATTTGCTCTCTTTCTTTGAAAAAGGCAAAATCATAATGGCCATTTCAGAATTACCATATTTTTTTACAAATTTATGATGATTGTCTATATTTGAGAAGGATCTAACCTACTTTAATGTTTGATTCTTATAGGAGATGGGGTGTATGTTGTGAGACTGCAATCAAACAAAACAAAATGTGTTCATGTTGTTTGAAGAACTTATAAAAAAAAGTGTATAATGCACAAAAAACTGGTAGAAATTTATTTTAACATTTTGATTTTACAAAAAATGACAAGTTCAGTATCAAGGAAACATTTTTGTTTGTTTGTAAATTTAACACTCTTGAAGATTCTAGGAATCGTGTCTAACAATATACAGGGTTTCCCGCTGGCTGTCGCTATTTTCACATTTTGCAAAAAAATAAAAATTGTGGCGATTAAAATTCGTGATTGGCGAAAGAAATATATCGGTTCGAATTCGTCCATCGTGTTTACTTTTTTGGGGTTTCTCTGACTTTTTCCCTGATCAGACAATACTGGGATTTCACCTTGAACTCGTTATGATTTTGATAGAAATTCAATAATCAGCCGATTGCATTTTAAAGGTATTGGCAACAATGGATTATAATTAATAAAGGTGTTGATTGTAATGTTTAATGAAATAGTGTGGTTAATGGCGTCACTTGTCACTTGAGGATTTGTTTACAACTTTGATGGAAAGAATTGTTTTAGCGACGCACATGTTTGAAGCATATTTTTATGTCTCCTCTTTTTCTTATAACGATGGCCTGGAAAAGAAAACTCTTGTTATGGCGAAAAATGTTTCAAAAGTAAAAAAAATCTCTTGACTTCAAATTTATCCTATAATTTTCATAGAAATAATAGTTTTGAAGTGGATAATTTGCAATCGCTTTAGCGGCACGCGTGTTTGAGGCATAATTTTTAGTCCAAACTTTTTCTTTTAACAATGGTCGGGAAAAGAAAACTATTGTTAAGAAGAAAAAAATTCAAAAGTAAGAAAAATCTCTGACTTAAGTCTTTATCCTTTAACTAGACGGGAAGTATCAGATAAACTTATTGTAAATGAATCCCGTGTTCCGCGTCAGAAGTCAAAAATAATGGTTTCATGATCTATATTGCAAAGATACAGTTTCTTTTAAAAAATAAATGTTTGTTATTGTTAAGTGTTTATTCATTACAATGTAGATTAACCCTTTCACCGATAGCCGCCCTGACAGAAGCTACTCTGAGACGATGGCTTCCCTGGCTATTGGGACATAAGTCAAAGATTTTCATATTAAATATCAATAAAAACTTGTCTGTAGTTATTTAGGTCTTTATTTTATTCACTTACACCATGGACACAGTTTTGTTAATGTTTTGATAAATTTTTTATCAGAAAAACTCAAATTTGCTAATTTTAGTCATTAAAATAGATGAAATTCACGAAATTCGACTTTTGGACCATGGACACAGTTTTGTTAATGTTTCGATAAATTTTTTGTCAGAAAAAATCAAATTTGCTAATTTTCGTCATTAAAATAGGTGAAATTCACGTAATTCGACTTTTGGACCCAAAATCGTAAATTTTTAACCCAAAACAGCAAAAGTTTGAAAATTTGCAGAAATGGAAGATATTTTCTATACTTTGTAAAATGTGATTTTGCTTTTCTGGATTTTTGTCTCGCCTGACAGAGTCAAAAAGCGAGACATAGGTATGCTGTTTCCAGCGTCGATGATGGTAGCGGCGGAGCCAACAATGTATTAGTTTGTGATTAGGTCTAGTTTGTGGTGAACCACAAGTTGTAGGTCAATCATATTTGGTATACAGTTGTATTAGCATTGGCAAATCTCATTTCCATGGAGATTATTTGGCGCTGCCCCCTCAGTCATGGTCTATTGACTTTGAAACTTTTGCTTATTTTACATGTATTAGTTTGTGATTAGGTCAGTTTATGGGAAACCATTAGTGGTAGGTCAATGATATTTGGTATACAGTTGTATTAGCATTAGCACATCTCATTTCCATGGAGATTATTTGGCCCTGCCCCCTCAGTCATGGTCTATTGACATTGAAACTCTTGCTTATTTTACATGTATGAGTTTGTGATTAGGTCAGTTTATGAGGAACCATTAGTGGTAGGTCAATGATATTTGGTATGCAGTTGTATAAGCATTGGCATATCTCATTTCCATGGAGTTTATTTGGTTCAGCCCCTTAGTCATGGTCTATTGACTTTGAAACTCTTGCTTATTTTACATGTATAAGTTTGTGATTAGGTCAGTTTATGAGGAACCATTAGTGGTAGGTCAATGATATTTGGTATGCAGTTGTATAAGCATTGGCATATCCCATTTCCATGGAGATTATTTGGCTCAGCCCCCTTAGTCATGGTCTATTGACTTTGAAAATTTTGCTTAGTTAACATGTATTAGTTTGTGATTAGGTCAGTTCAAGGGGAACCATTAGTGGTAGGCCAATGTTAATTAGTAGTCAGTTGTATAAGCATTAGCTCATCTCATTTCAATTGAGAATATTTGGCCCCATCCCCTCAGTCATGGCCAATTGACTTTGAAACTGTTGCTTAGTTTACATGTATTAGTTTGTGATAAGATCAGTTTAAGATGAACTGCTAATGTTGTCAATGATATTTGGTATGCAAATTTATTGGCATTTGTAAGTATTGTTTCCATGGAGATTATATAGCTCCACCCCCTCTTCTTTGTTCATTGACTTTGAAACTTTTACATAGTTTACAAGTTAATGTTTGTGTTCAGGTTTGTTTAAAGGGAACAACTTATAATAAGTCAATGATATTTGGTATGCAGTTGTATTAGCATTGGCCCATCTCATTTACATGGAGATGGTTTAGCCATGTACCTCAGTCATGGTTCATTGACTTTGAATATTAGCCTAACTTGTTAAGTATTGTAATTTTGATTGAAATCAAAATTACAAAAAATTCGTAAGGGTTCCGCGGAACCCAGTGTCTCGCCTACTTTTGCTATTAATCGCAGGCTCAACAAAAATGAGGAAAAAAATTAATAAAAATATTCCTCTCTATAATATCTTTTGATTGTAAGTAGCTTCTGTCCAAGTTTGGTAAAAATCCAGGATAGTTTATGAATCTAATAAATGTTTTAAAAACTTAAACTGCAGACTGTATGTAATGTTAACTGGAAGAAAAACTTAGTTCATTTATAAGTAAAATACGTAAAAAATGGAACAAAATTTTAACAAAATTTCCTTCTAGATACTAGCTTTTAATCATAAACAAGCTTCTGTCCAAGTTTGGTACAAATCCAGGATAGTTTAAGAAAGTTGTTAAAATTTCAAAAACTTTAACCACAGAGTGAATGTTACAAATGTATGTTTCTTGGCAGAAAAACTAAGTCCATTTATAAGTAAAATACGGAAAAAATGGATTTTTTTTTTACAAAATTTACTTTTGAATATTATTTTATGATCATAAACAAGCTTCTGTCCAAGTTTGGTAGAAATCCAGGATAGTGTAAGAAAGTTATTAAAATTTCAAAAACTTTAACCACAGTGTGAATATTTGTGGACGCCGCCGACGGAATGTAGGATCGCTATGTCTCGCTTTTTCGACAAAAGTTGAAGACTCGACAAAAAGCGAGACATATCTCTGTGATAACAGTTTATCTTAAACCTAATTGGATAAGCTTTCCATTAAAAGTAAATCCAATCCTGTATCATCCAATCAGAAGCCGTACAGGATTCTATTCTGAGTACCATCTTGGGGTAAAAACTTGCCGGTAAAATGTAAACAAATAATTGCGCTCTTGTAACCCGAACAAATTCCTTACACTGAACGATATCCATTCCAAGTGTTTTTGTACATAAAATGGCATTTTATGTCAAAAAAGTAGACTAGCCTGGCTTCAATTCTTCCAAATTCTTTAAAAAAAAATGTTCCCTTATTTCAAATTCAAGTAAAATCCGTAAATTTCATTTGATTTTGACACGGTTTTCAACAAACGGAAGCGTCATGTTTACACTTTCAACCGGGCATTAAACAAAGAGAGATAACTTGTGTTCGCAATGATATAGGGGAAATATAATAGAGATATTCCAATCCCGGGAACCGGGACTCATCGTCAGCTGTCTGAAGCCTGAATCCCTGTAAACCAGGATTCATCTGTGAAAGGGTTAAAAAAAATTCTGAAGAATTATAATAGATAACAATGTGACAAACTGATTTTTTTTTTTGCTAGAAAAAAAGAAAATTTTAAATGAAAAATATGTTAATGTAAGTTGGTGAAAAATATATTGTTTTTGCGAAAGAGGTGGCGAAAAAGAAAATTTACCCAGGAGAAACCCTGAATATAGCTTATTTTTGATAAAGGCAAGCAGATTTTTTCATGGAAACACTGCAGATGGCCAAATATGAATTCAATTAACCAGTTTCACTAAGTAACATGTTTTTTCCTGAATATCCATGGTGAAAAAAAGTGTGCAGATTGTACATGGCTTTTTACGGTTAAGCGAATTATAATTTTAATGCTTTTTCATTTAAACATAACATACCTTAACTCTTTATCTACCACTGACGGATATATACGCGGTTTTTATCATCGTTCTGTCCGCAGTGACTGATAAATCCGCTTGCGTAATCAAGCGTGTATTCGCAGTGACTGATAGATCCTCTGTAAACATACACTTGCGCAGTCCCCGTGACGGATATTTCCGTAAAATATACCACTGTTAAAACCCTTTAGATTGGACAAAATTGTTGGGGAATCTCTAAATGAACCAATGAAATTCGGTTTTACAAATGAATAATCTTTCAACTCGTACATTCCTTTTCTGTAAAAAGTGTGTGTTTACATTTAATTATGATGAATTTTACACGTGTTCGGAATGCGATTAAAACAATGGCGGATGAATGGGCTTCTTTGTTCAAATCGTATAGCGAAAGTGAAAAATTTGAAGGATTTATGCAATTAGAAAGCAAAATTGGAAGCATAGGAAGGGATAATTTAGCTTGTCGGAACAAGATTGCGAGTCTTCCGAGGATGAAGAAGCCAAACATGGACAAATAATTTGAAAACTTTTTACGTCCGTTTATGGCAGCTTTCAAGCTTGATAATGAAAAGAAAGAAATTGATTTGGTATTTGTTTCTTTTTTCAAATAATATACAATAAATACTGATTAATTAAACATTTAATTAGAGTACTCATAACACAGCCTTAACAATTCGTGAAAAATTCTCTCACTGCAAATTATCTCTGGTAGTTAACCTACAATTCAGCTGCAGTAGCTAACTAATCAGCAGTGTGTAGTAGTGAACTGTAAAGGTACCTGTGGTAGATAAGAAGTTAAAAAAAAGACACCCATTGTTGATCATATGTGTAATTTAATTAAAGTTTGTAATTTTTTTCACATTGTTCCTGAAAAAAGACTAATATTATAATATCTTTGTTACAGTTGTTTCATATACACATATTTTAATGACCTTTGTTTTGCTTTATTTTACAGGCAACTTTTTGTATGACTTCTTCATTGGCCATGAACTCAATCCAAGAATAGGAAGCTTTGACTTGAAGTTTTTCTGTGAACTTCGACCAGGTCTGATTGGTTGGTTAATGATCAACTTAGTATTTTTAACTGAAGCTTACCAAAAGAACAACGGTGTTCTCCCTCCTGCACTTACAATGGTGGTTGTTTTCCAGGCACTGTATGTTGCTGATGCTCTTTGGTTTGAGGTAATTTAAAAACATGATACCTGGATATCTGTTTTAATATTTGGAGCTGTTTTATCTTAAGATATTCATATCAGAGAGTTCAGACTTTTAAAAATACCCAAGTTTCAATGTAGCTTGGAACACTTTATAAAAAATGGGGGTCATAAAGGTAAGGGAGATTAATTTTGTGAATCAATATTTGTGAATTAGTAACTAAAAACCGGACGTACTTTAGAGATTTACAGCCATTTATAGTCCAAGATTTACCACAAGCCCATGGTCCAGTCCTGTAAAATATTTGTGAAAATAAGACCTCACAAGCTGTATAAACCTAAAGAAATTTTTTGATTTATTGTTTTTCTGGCTTTTGGTCTTTTTATACGACCTCATATATTGGTATGACCGTCGTCGTCCTGAGACACATTGGTTTTCGCACAATAACTTTAGTTTAAGTGAATGGATCTCTATGAAATTTTACCATAAGGTTCAATACCACAAAAGGAAGGTTGGGATTGATTTTGGGGGTTATGATACCAACAGTTAAGGAATTAGGGGCCAAAAATAAGCATTTTTCTAGTTTCCAAACAATAACTTGTGGAACGGTGTATGGATCTCTCTGAAATTATATCACAAGTTTCCATTCCACAAAGGGATGGTTAGGATTTGCATTGGGGGGTTATGGCTCAAACCGTTTAGGAATTAGGGGCAAAAAAGGGGGGAAAATAAGGGTGTCCTGGTTAATGGACAAATATTTTAGTACAAAACGTAATTTAAAGCAGTGTAAGGGAGGTAATTCAAATGATGGAATTACCTCCCTTACACTGCTTTTAGATTATGTATAAAGTAATGGTTAATGAACAATTAAGACAATTTAAAAGCAGTGTAAGGGAGTTAATCCAAATACAACATTTTGATTACCTCCCTTACACTGCTTTTAAATTATGTTGAAAGAAATGCATATTTATAAAGGAAGACCAGTAAAAAGAAATTGTGCAACAACATAGTGTATTGCACAAAAGCAAAAAAAAAGGGGGGGGGGGGGGGGGTCAATTCGCAACAGCAAAGTGTATTGCTCAAAAGCAAAAAATTGAATATAAATTCAAATCATATAACCAATTCTAAGTTCTTTGACTACAGTTATTCTGTGTCAGAAACCTTTTATGTGTCAAATATTTAATTACAATCCAAATTTAGACCTGTATCAAGCGCGAATATTGCGTCCATTTTTGCCCCAACTGATCAGGGTTGGACCTCTGCGGTCGTATCCAGCTGCGCTCTGCGAAGCAATTTATTTTTCTTCATGAAGACTGATTTACAGTGATTTCTCCTGTCTTACAGAGTTATAATGGGAATTCAAATTTCAATCATACTTAAGTAAAGATTGCTTCCAGGCATGTAGGAATTTTAAATCTGACTAATTTTTATACATATTGTATTAAAGTATTTGGAATATGGGGACAACTTATTTGTTTTACAGACACGGCTATATCAGATTTTCAGTATAGAGTTTGAATATCTGTATGCAAAAAAAGTACCTTGCAATTGGTTCATAGATTTGTGGGACATCATCTGTAAGTAGTTGCTTGTTGAATTCTGCATTATTGTGAAAATGATTTTATATTAAGATAACAAAATTTTGAACACAATTTTGTGTTTTATTCTTTTAGGATGCTATCCTGACTACAATGGATATTATACATGATGGATTTGGATACATGTTGGTGTTTGGAGATCTTGTTTGGGTGCCATTCTTGTACTGTCTACAGACTAAATTTCTGGCAGAGAATAATGTTCATTTATATTGGTATTGTTTGGCAGCCATTGGAGTCTTAAACTGTAAGTATTATTATAAGCCTCTTGTCAATGGCTGGGAGCTCTTTTTTTCTTTTAAATTTATGCAGATTCTGTTCTTGTATATATACTTTTAGTCAAAAGAAAAGGGACCTTTAACACCCATCTGAGTATTCCTTTAAGTTTATGTGAAACACAATTATGCATACAATATTCCTTTTCCAAAGAATTAAAATCCAAATAATGCATGTTACTGTTGACCGAGATAATTAATATTTAATAGTAAAAAATTAAAGAAAACAATCTAAAAGAGAAATTCAATTTTTTGATACTTTAAAGGCCACAAAAAATAAAGCAAATTAGTCAAGTCTGAACTGTTGGGAATGTTTAAAGGGGCTTCAAGATATAAAAAAAATTTAAAATACGATTTTTTTTTTGTTCAATCATTAATGAAAAAGTGAAATAATAATTGTTTTAGCAGCCAGTTTGGTTCAATTTTGTCAAAATAAGCTAAGAAACATCGCTGATGAATTTGACCTCATTGAATCTGTATTCATGTGACCTTCAATTTAACCCCTTAGCTAGAGATGGGTTACACATGAATTAGGCGTGTTCAGTTATTAAAAGGAAAAGAATGTCAACATTGAAAGTGGAACAAGGGTAAACCCTTTTATTGACCGAATCGATCCACAAAAACTCAATCTCATACAGATAAAACGATGATTAACACATATTTTTAACCTATAATATGAAATCAAACAAACCTAGAAAAATCCAGTTGCACAAGTTTGTATCTATTTATATCTATATTTATGTTTATATCTGGTTAAATGACTGTCTGCAGTTTTCGGGGGTCACCTTGATGGTTAATTAGATGACGTCTAGACTTAAATTCACACGAAATGGTGATACATATTATCGAGCCCGTGCATTGTTAATTGTTTATTTTAGACTTTTTATGATTTGGATATACGTTTTAGTATGTTATAAATCAAATATGAAAATTTGAGTCAAATCGGTGAGCATGAATTTGACAGCTAATGCCCCTTTAAGGGATATGTTCGTAAATTTTTATCACAAATTTGACCTAATATGACAGCTAATGCCCCTTTAAGGGATATGTTGGTAAATTTTTATCACAAATTTGACCTAATAAGTCAGTCGTAATAGGATAAGTAGTCTACTTAATTAAATGACACAAAAACACTATTTTAAAATGTTTTCTTGACGAGGCAAAAAAATGTAAAAAAAGTGTGTAGGTCCAAATTATTGTACGGTTTTGGTATTTGCAATTATATTCAACTTGTTTTTATGCCCCCGCCGTAGCTGAGGGGGCATTCAGTTTTACCCTTGTCCGTCTGAACGTCCGTCCGACCATCCATCCGTACGTCCCAAAGTTGGTTTCCGTTCTTTAACTTTAGTTTGCCTCAACCAAATGTTATGAAACTTATACACAATGCTCATTACCATAAAATACAGATCAAGTTTGAAATTGGGTGGCGTCACTTTTACCGTTCTTGAGTTATGCCCCTTTCTAAACATAAAAATTGCTGATTTTTTTCGTTTCCGTTCTCTAACTTTAGTTTGCCTCAACCAAATGTTATGAAACTTATACAGAATGCTAATTACCACATAATGCAGACTTAAGTTCGAAATTGGGTGGCGTCACTTATACCGTTCTTGAGTTATGCCCCTTTATAAACATAAAAATTGCTGAATTTTTGGTTTCCATTCTCTAACTTTAGTTTGCTTCTACCAAATGTTATGAAACTTATACACAATGCTTATTACCATAAAATACAGATCAAGTTTGAATTTTGGTGGTATCACTTTTACCATTCTTGAGTGATGCCTATTTACAAATGGAAAATTTGCTGTATTTTTCGTTGCTGTTCTCTGACTTCAGTTAGCCACAACCAAATGTTATGAGACTTATACACAATACTTATTACCACAAAACTCAGATCAAGTACAAATTTGGGTAGCATCATTTTTACTTTTCTTCAGTTATGTCCCTTTATAACTTCATTATGATATGCAAGCTGGGGCATCATCTGTGTCCAATGGACACATTCCCCATTTATTTTTATCACAATCAGAAATTTTTTTTCTGCTGGCTGTTCCATTAAAACATACATTGTACCCAGGGAAGGCACTTTAAAAATGGGGTAACCAAATTAAAATTTCACTTACATTTCCACTATGCAAAAACATATATGACACCCACCCATTGCTGAGATTTGGAAGTGCCTTCCGTGGGTCCTATGTATGTTTTTATGGAACAACCCTTAAATGGGAGGATAGAAAAAGTGTTAAAAGAAATAGAAAATTTTGAGAATGTACATTTTTTGATATAAATGCTAATGTGAGTTCAAATCTTAATGAACCAAATAATTCAATTGTCAGTCTTCAAAAAAAAAAAGAATTCAGCAAGATCAAAGCTGAACTTGGCAATATAAAATACTAGCATCCACATTAGAATTTTATGGAACTAGAAAATTTTGTCAATAGAAAAAAAACAGGTTTTTTGGTTATATCTGATAGAAACATTTACCTAGTGTTAAAGGGAAAAAATGTTGTTTTGTAAAATTATTGAAATACATCCAATGCTATTTTTTATTGCAGTCATTGGTTATTTCATGTTCAGAGGAAGCAATTCACAGAAAAATGAATTTAGGAAGAATCCATATAATCCAACATTATCTCGTAAGTATTGACAATAGAAAATTATAATGTATAAAAACATGTTATCATAGATTCCTAGTAAACTAGCAAAAAAATCTATATATACAGTAAGCATTTATTAACATGTTGTTGTCCCCTGCTTTGTCAGTTTGAATCTTTTTTATGTCCCTGCCGTAGCGCAGGCAGCATTAAGTTTGACCCTTGTCCGTACGTCAAAAGTACGTACGTCCCTAAGTTGGTTTCCTTTCTCTTACTTTGGTTTGCCTCATCCAAATGTTATGAAACTTATACACAATGCTTATTACCACAAAATACAGATCAAGTTCGAATTTTGGTGGCGTCTCTTTTACCGTTCTAGAGTTATGCCCCTTTACAAATGGCAAAATTGCTGATTTTTTTATGCCCCCGCCGTAGCGGTGGGGGCATTAAGTTTTACCCTTGTCCGTACGTAGGTACGTCCCAAAATTGGTTTTCGTTCTCTAACTTGATTTTGCCTCAACCAAATGTTATGAAAATTATACACAATGCTAATTTCCACAAAACACAGATCAAGTTTGAATTTTGGTGGCGTCACTTTAACCGTTCTAGAGTTATGCCCCTTTATAAATGGAAAAATTGCAAAATTTGTATTTTCTTCTAAATATCAAGTAATTTTTAAAATTGGAGTTATCTTCCTTTGTCCATGATTATAGTTGAATCAACTACAATCAATGCTTTATACAATGCAATGTTTAATTTTGACTTCCACTGATAAAACACAGATCAAGTTGAATTTGGGAAGTGTCACTTTAACCATTATTGAGTTATGCCCCTTTATAAATCGAAAGATTGCAAAATTTTTAGTTTCCATTCTGTAACTTAAGTTTGCCCCAACCAAACATTATGAAACCTATTCACAATATTCATTACCATAAAAATAAGATCAAGTACAATTTTTTTGTTTCCGTTTTCTAACTTTAGTTTGCCTCAACCAAATGTTATGAAACTTATACACAATGCTTATCACTACATAATACAGATTAAGTACGAAATTTGGTGAGAACACTTTTACCATTCTTGAGTTATGTCCCTTTATAAACATAAAAATTGCTGAATTTTTCGTTTCTGTTCTCTAACTTTAGTTTGTCTCAACCAAATGTTATAAAACTTATACACAACCGTTCTAGAGTTATGCGTGTTTACAAAAAGAAAAATTTCTGAATTTTTAGTATCTGTTCTCTACTTAAGTTAGTCTAAACCAAATGTTATGAGACTTACACACAAATGCTTATTACCAAGAAACTCAGATCAAGTTCAAATTTGGGTAGCGTCACTTTTACCGTTCTTCAGTTATGTCCCTTTATAACTATATGATATGCAAGCGGGGGCATCATCTGTCACATTTATTTTTTTCCGATCTCTAATTTAAGTTAGCCTCAACCAAATGTTATGTAACTTATACACAATGATTATTACCACAAAATACAGATCAAGTTTGAATATGGTTGGTGTCACTTTTACTGTTCTAGAGTTATGCCCCTTTACAAATGGAAAAATTGCTGAATTTTTCTTTTCCATTCTCTAACTTAAGTTTGCCTCAACCAAATGTTATAAAATTTATAAACAATACTTATTACCACAAAACTCAGATCAAATACTAATTTGGGTAGCATCACTTTTACCATTCGTCAGTTATGTCCTAAAGGTTTATTTCAAATAAGATTTCTTGTATCATTTTTTTTTTAAAACATTTTGAATTGGCCTGAATCTTTCTGATTCTTAAACTGACTTTTGTTTGATTCCTCTAGATTATGCAGGTCAGGGCTGTTCCAGAAAATACTATGTCCCCCCTAGGGTCGGCCTTTTTTTTAACCCCCACCACCCACAGAAATAAAAATAAATTAAAACAACACTCCCTTTGCATTTTGGTATTTCAAATACAACCACCCACATAAAATTAAAAAAAATTGCCTTCCCTGGGTTGGAACATAGTATTTTTTGGAACAGCCCTCAGGTCTATTCAGGTGGAAAATAAAAAAATTGAAATCCTTGTTTGTATTGGTTAAATGGATTTTCATGTGAATATAAAAAGGACACGAGGGGATTTTACACCAAAGTTCTTTAGGCAAGAAGGCATTGAGTGTGCTGCACCACAGTAGTTGATAAACTTCAATAACTATATAAAAATTCACATTATTTTTAGTGAATTTATGAAAGTGCTCGTGATAAAATTGTTTCATTTAACCTTGACATCAGTAAAAAATAAGAAGATGTGGTATGATTGCCAATGAGACAACACTCCACCAGAGATCAAATGATGTACACATTAGCAACTATAGGTCACTGTAAGGCCTTCAACAATGAGCAAAACCCATACTGCATAACAAGCTGTAGTTATTTGAACTTCGAAATAATTAAAACATTTAAACAGACAAGACATTTTGTAGTGTCGTCAATAGTTTTCTTTGATCATTATGTCAAATTTGATTTATATTCTTATTTTCAGATTTGGAAACTATTCCAACATCAACTGGGAATAGGTTATTGGTATCAGGATGGTGGGGATTATGTAGGAAACCAAACTACCTTGGTGATATCATCATGTCTATAGCTTGGTCATTACCATGTGGTATGTATTCTGGAATTAGTGTTAAATAGTGTCCATATTAAGTGTTGAAAATTTTCTCATAGGCATATAGAACTATACCAGCACTGCCCATTTAAATCTAAGCTTCTTAAGCATTAGTAATGAAAATTGGGACATTAAGTTAACAGGAAAAGACAACTATAAATATTGGTTCACCTAACTATATACACTATAGCGCTATTCATTCCAATCTGTATAAGTTCTGAAATTACACAACTTTTTCATCCAGTTGAAGGTATCTCTGGCCCTGTTTACACAATGTAGTATCTCAGAGACAGGTTTAAACCATCGTAAACACTTCAAACAAAACATTTTTATGATTTTAATTGGTGTTTGAAGAAAGTTGATCAAAATGTTAGCTTTCTTAACTTTTCCCTCCCTCAGCTCGTTACTGATGACCATTGATTTGCAACAGGAAGTTGTCTTAAGTGACTTTTTTTTCCAGATTGGACTAAATAACAATAAGCTTTTGAAGCCCATTTTAGCTTACTTCTTACAAACTCATTATTCAGGTTATACTACTGGAAGGTAGTTTAAGCATCATAATACTATAGGAATTTGGAGATAAAATTGTTTCCAAATAATAATTTTCGCTTGCTTAAGCAAATTTAACTGTCACATCCTTCTAGTATTGCAAACATTATTCATTTTGCTATCAGTGTGCTGTTTGAGGAACATCCCAGAGGCAGATTTATAGGGTTTTCCAGGTCCCCCCTGAAGCATGACTGGAGCGGGCCCCTCTTAGGCAGTCAGTGAGCCACCACCACCATCCCCACCCCCTCTTATGAAATTTCACGATCTGCCACTGCATCCTATGGCAGTGCTGACATTTTACTAGTAATTAACCTGACATGCCTTCAGAAAGTTGTTTGATATAAACGTATATTGACAACATCCACTCATCATTTATTTCTTTTTCAGGGTTTTCCACGCCAGTTGTATGGTTTTATCCAATATACTTCACAATTCTGCTCATTCATCGTCAGAGAAGAGATGAAGAAGTATGTGCAAAGAAGTATAAAGCAAGCTGGGATCGTTACTGTGAGAGGGTACCATACAGAATATTTCCAAAAATCTACTAGTGCAAATCTGACCAATCCAGGGCAACATTCTCTTATATTTTGTTAATAATCATGTCCATTGATATGTTGTATTAAATTTTATTTTTGAAGCTTATTTCCTTTATCATTATTTTTAATCTTAGATGTATTGCTAAATTTATTTTTGAAAGTTTTTAATTTTTTTGTAAATTATTTTTAAACTACTTTTATTATATATTTTTTTTTAAATTATTTTGTTTTAATGAGCAAACATGGTTAAACAGACTGAAATACAGGTTTTCAAATCTGATAAGATAGAGAGAATACTCAAGTTCTTTATGATCTCATCTTTAATGATAGCACTGCCTAGGAAATAGTCTAGCTCTTAACATTATTCTGTTTTGATTTTTGAGAATTTTCATACTATAGTCCAAATTTCCATGCAAGTATGTTGTGTATGTTATAAAGGGTAGATTAGAAAAGGAAGGGACTTTATTGTTTTTCTTTCTTTTTTGTTTCCTTTGGTAAATAACATTGTTATTTGGTTTTGTTTTTAAGTGCACTCACATCTCTATGAGACATAATTTATTATTTGAAGTCAAGAAAGTACCAACCACCAAAACCCTTCAACAGTTTTTAAATCATTTTTTAAATCATTTATTTGTTTGGATAGTGCCATTGTTTATATATAAAGACAGAATAACATTTTCATATACATATTGCATGTTTCGAATTGACTTCTATATTTTCTATTTTCTAAATGAAAAGTTTTGCATGGCAAATGAAAAACAAAAAATACTAGCAGTGTAGTTCATTTATTCATATTTTAACATTTACATGAAATTGCTTTTTTCATTTTAAGAAAATGGCAAGATGTTAATGTAAATATGTACATATTGTAAAACAACTGTTAGACCAGATTCCTAGTTGTCAAATCATGTATATTTTGATGAGTTTTATATAATTTTATGTATAAGACTTTGTAAATAGTAGTGTAAATAATGTACATAACTTTATAATTGTAAATGTGTGTAGCTGTATTGTAAAAATCAAAAGAAGAAATTGTTAAACAAAATAACTGAAATCATTTTGGGTATACAATTCAGAATAGTTACCTCTCTAAAAAAAAAAAAATATATAGCTTTAGATTGCCCAAAAAGTCCTCCAAATTAAATTAAAGTTTGCATTAAAATTACTGATAGCTTTATACTTAGTCACAAGATAGGTCTTTCAATTGTTTTCAATATTCAGAGATATAACTTTTTTCAAATACTGAAAAAGTTAGCATAGTTAGTAATAATTCGTATTGTGAAAAAAAAAAAACAGAATCTATGAACATCTTGAAAGTGCTTTAATAGGGCCTTTCCATGATGTCATGGGTCCTAACTACCTGTCAATAGTTCTGTTCTTTCTCCAGTTTAAATGTAAGCAAAATATTAATTTCTATATAAAAGTTGAAATAGATGTGCAACATTGAATAAGGCTCTAACACACAATGTCTTTTCAATGTTATGGACATTCTGATGATTTACTTGCAACAATTTTCTTTTTGTGAATGATTCCAATAAAGTAGTTCAGTGCTGTAAAAAAGGTCATTTATTTATGTAGAACTATAGTTAGATACAGATGATCTTTTTCAATAAGTTTAAATGTTGTTATCCTTATCCATAACATTGTTGTACTTTTTGATAAACCAATTAAAACAAATTATAATACTACTGGATTTGATGATTATTTAGCCGCTGAATGTTGTATCCAACACAAAGCCACTTTGGTAGGGATTCCAAGACTCTTTCCAAACATTGCAAAAAATATAAAAACTTTAAGCTATCAACAAAAAATAAGAGTTTGTCAATTACTTTTAACAATGCAACAGCCAAATGGACAAATAAAATATAATGACACAGGTGTATGGACAAATCAAAAGAAATTAAAAAGTTGTATTGACAAATCAAAAGCAATGAGACAGGTGTATGGACAAATCAAAAGAAATTAAAAAGTTGTATTGACAAATCAAAAGCAATGAGACAGGTGTATGGACAAATCAAAAGAAATGAAATACTTGTTTTGACAAATAAAAAGCAATAAGACAGGTGTATGGACAAATCAAAAGCAACAAGACAGATATATGGACAAATCAAAAGAAATGACACAGGTGTATCAGTGTGTAAGGAAAAAGAAATGAAACTGTCATATTGACAAATCAAAAGCAATGAGACAGGTGTATGGACAAATCAAAAGAAATGACCAAGGTGTATGGATAAATCAAAAGAAATGAAACAGTTGTTTTGACAAATCAAAAGCATTGAGACAGGTTTATGGACAAATCAAAAGCAATGAGGCAGCTGTATTGACATCAAAAGCAATGAGACTAGTATTGACAATGCTGAAGCAATGGCAGGTATATGGACAAATAAAAAAAAATGACAGTAGTATAGACAAATCAAAAGCAAAGAAACAGGTGTATGGACAAATAAAAAAAATGACACGTGTATCAGTGTGTAAGGACAAATCAAAAGAAATGAAACCGTCGTATTGACAAATCAAAAGCAATGAGACAGCAGAATGGACAAATCAAAAGTAATGACATAGGTGTATTGACTTTTGAAAGCATTGACACAGGTGTATTAACAAATCAAAAGCAATGACAGTGGAATGCACAATCCAAAAGAAATGAAACAGTAGAATGGACAAATCAAAAGAGATGTAACAGGTGTATGGACAAATCAAAAGCCATGAAATAGGCAACTGCACGAAAGTTATATTGACAAATCAAAAACAACATAAGTGTATAGACAAATTAAAAGCAATGAGATGGGTGACTGTATTTATCAACGAAACAGGTATATGGACAAATCGAAAGAAATGAGATGGTTGCATTGACAAAACATAAGCAATGCTCCGGAAATATTGACAAATCAAAAGCAATGACACAGGTCTATGGACAAATCAAAAGTAATTGCTCAAGTGTATTGACAAATAAAAACATTGACAAATCTAAAGCAACGACAGGTGAACGGACAAATCAAAGTGATGACACAAGTGTATTGACAAATCAAAAGCAATGATAGTAGTATGGACAAATCAAAGACAATTGACACTGGTGTATGGACAAATTAAAAGTAATGACACAGGTGTATTGACAAATGAAAGCATTGGCACAGGTTAACAAATCTAAAGCAATGACACGGGTGTATGGACAAGTAATGACACAGATGTATTGACAAATGAAAGCATTGTCACAGGTTATTAACAAATCTAAAGCAATGACACGGGTGTATGGACAAATCAGAAGTAATGACACAGGTGCATTGGCAAATGAAAGCATTGGCACAGGTTATTAACAAATCTAAAGCAATGACACGGGTGTATGGACAAATCAGAAGTAATGACACAGGTGTATTGACAAATGAAATCATTGGCACAGGTTATTAACAAATATATCCTATTTATGTATGTTTTTTCTTTAATCCCGGAGATGTAAGCATTATCATTTGGTTTTCATCTTCATATCGGGGATACCTGATATTTATTGTGGGGAAAACAGATTCTTCCACTAACAAGGTTAGTATGATTAAATTTGCACTGGCCGGGAAATAATCCCAGGCTTGGTCCTCCCATTAACTTTTCACAAGATTGTTGTTATTTTATCCAACTTTTTATCATTTTGGTATCATAAGCTTATTGTATCATCTACATAATTTCATTTTCAACTTGGTATAACTATACCTTATTCCTGTGTATTGATTTTAAGGCTTATTTATTTGGATGAAAAGTCTGCCTTGATTTAGTTACATGAATGCCATCTCTCCTGGTGGTTTGTGCATTTTTTCGGAGTCATACCCCAGAATAATAATTTCTCTAGATATATATATGCTATTTGTCTTCAAGGGTTTCATTTTATTTTGCCGTTGCTATTCCTACACCATGGTTATGGTCTTAGTTGTGGATTTAGGGTTGAACTATTAACACAAATCTATATTTTGCTTCCTATGAGGATTCGTCTTGCGGCTAAGGTTTCCAATATATAATTTGGTGTTTCTAAAACCAACACGGCGAATCAATTTAGTCCTATATTGGCGTCAGCTGAGCACCTTACCATACAAAAGAGGAGATGTCGCTAATATTGTATTATTTTCTTATCCGAGGTTTTAAAGAGATCAGATTTATTTTCGAGTAATTATAAATATAAAAATAAGGAGATGTTGTATGATTGACAATGATACAACTATCCTCCAGAGATAAAGTGAAGTAAATGTAAGCAATTATAGGCAAATGTGCGGCCTTCAACAATGAGAAAAACTCATACAATATAGTCGACTATAAAAGGCCCCGACCTGAAAAATTTGAAACAATTCAAACGAGAAAACTAGGCCTAATTTATAACAAAACAATTTACGAAAAACGCATATGACAGACATGAACCAACGACAATCACTGAACTACAGGCTTCTGACTTAGGACAGGCTTATAAAGAATGTGGCGTGGTCAACATGTTTGTGACGCTCAACCCTTTGGTTGAAGTTTTGGGTATTAAGAAATTCACACGTCACATATCTGATACGGAAAAAATTTAAAACACCACATTTTTTAAAATGTCTCTCGGATCGTGAATAAATTTTAGAAACAATCCCAAATATATAAGCATTTGAGAGCATAAAAAGTAACAAGTGTCCTATTTAATGTGACCACAGCAGGGGCGTTTCTAGGATATTTGAAAGAGGGGGCGTATAATGAAATCTTTCGCCGAGCGGAGCGAGACGAAAAATGTTTTGGACTTTTTTTTTACTAAAAAGCATAAAATAATAGCAGTAGACCAATAACCAATACAGTATTAGCAGATAACGATAGTTTTCTTTCTTTTTTTTTAAAGGGGGGGGGGGGGGGCGTACGCCCATTACGCCCACCTGGACCCGCCCCTGCAGAGTCCCCAATAAATCAAGCTAATTCAAAACTCTTTTTCGGAACATGCTCGTCTCCTTATACTAGACCGAATCAAACTTTATTAATGCAATCACATAAATGTTTAATGTAGGGTGTGATCTTTCCAACAAAGAGCAAAATTGACAGAGACTTTTGTAAACAAATCCACGTGGACAATGGACAGCAAAAGAACTGTTACCTCACAGGTATGTGTTTACTATTATAAAATGATTTGAGTTATGATAATTTACTGCATTTACCTGAAAATAATTTTACTCGTTCGACAGTAAAGTCTTGTCACAGTGTGACCTAGTAGCTGCGGAACCGTAGCTGTTATCGGGTCCTTATGATATTTTTGGACAATAATTTTGCGGACCACAAGATCTACGATGCCGCAGCTAGGTTTCACCAGACCCATATGCCATAGCAGCTTTTTGACATCATATAGCAAATATACAAAAATATGGAATACAAAAAATTTGACAATCTATGTTTAACTACATTTATAAATACATAAATTTGAAAAAAAAATTTACCAGGTATGCGCCGGAAAGTAAACATCAGTATGTTGATGGTTTTCTGAAACTGAAGAAGAAGATATAGCGACATTGCACATTTAAATCCGAGCCGTCCTATCGCAAGTGTTTATTTTTCTTGCAGCGGTTCACTGGCCGATTCGGACCTTAAGGTTCATGTGGACCCTTCGTCTAAAATGGCTGCATTTTCACCTCAAAATTTACTCTGAGTACAGACAAACCTGTGCATCTGGAAAAGTTTTAAGGCATAGCATGCCCTAGATAAATAAAATTCAAATATATTTTATGTTTTAGAAAATTAAAAACTTAACCGGATTTTGCAGTGCACTTTTTTTCATTCCACCAGAAGGTGCCAAAATAAACAAAGTTGGGAAAGAGGTTTGAGAACTTCCCCACAGGTAATAATTGAAGTGAACTGTTTTGATTGACATGGACAATAGATGGACAATAGATACCTGACAATAATTGGTGATTTAAACTGTGTACCTGAGTGGACCATATCAAGTGAAACTCAACTGTTTGTTAATTTTATCATCTTCTGCAGGGACGAAAAAAAGTGCACTGCTAAATCCAGTTAAGTTTTAAATTTTCTAAAACATACAATGCATTAGAAGTTTATTTATCTAGGGCATGCTATGTCTTAAAACTTTTCCAGATGCGCAGGTTTGTCTGTACTCAAAGTAAATTTTGAGGTGAATATGCAGCCATTTTAGCCAAAGGGTCCACATGAACCTTAATCAATATTGTTCAGCCGCGGGTTCAATAAAATTGCTACAGGTGACTCTTCATGAGTTCCAGAGTTCAAATTCTGACATTGCTCTGAAAAAATACTTATATGCTTTAATATAACAGAAGGAAACATCTGAATTTCTCTTATTTTTTTCACTGAGTCCCCGCCTTGAAGAAGAAAAATGAATTCAAGACCTTCCCTTCCAACAAGGATTTGTATTTGTATAGTATACAAATCCCATAAATTACACCCCAAACACTTTTCAATATTTTTATTATTTACAACAAAAAATTCATGCATACAATTTCTATTTATATTATTATTATTCAATAAAATAGTGCATCAGTTGTGGAAATAAAGCTTCAAGTGCAAAAGTGCGTGCAGACAAAGGGACCTGTCTTCATGCACCTATATGTTCAAGTGGAAAAGTTGTTTGTGACTTCAGGGGACTTTATTTAGATATGCCGTTATGGTCTCATTGACATTTGCTACACCTTCTTTCAATTTCAGCATATTGTTCCTATCCTTT